CCAACACTCACAATCAATAAGAAAATACTTAGTTGTATTAATAACCAAACAAAACCTTACAACCAGTGCAAATACAACCAGTAGCCAGGTTCAATCAGTACTCAATACTCAAACAACTAGAAAACACAGCAAGTACACTAAGAAAATGGTAAACTAAAGGCTGACTTCGAGGGTCAGTCACCTCCACTAAATACTGACTTCGAGGGTCAGTCACCTCCCTTCCAATTTACTTTTGCCTTCCCCATCCCTCTTTCTCTCCCCACTTTGTTTTTATTCTCTCCTGGCACCTTTTGTGCTCCTAACCAAATTTCCCTACATCCACTCCTATCAAGCCATCTGTCCTTTCTAACAAACTCAACCTTTTACACACAAATGTCAGCAATTATTCCTTTGCTTTTTACCCTTGCTCTTCCTATGGTATACCAGCACTCTTGGTTGTTCATCATTACCCTCCCCAAGGAGAACCACCTTGTCCTCATGGTGGAAAGAAGGAAATTGGTGGTCAATAGTGTCAAAATTCTCCCATGTGTTTTCATAGGACGGTAAGCCTTTCCATTGAATCAGCACCTCCCACTGTCCATTCAGAAGTTTACTTTTTTTGAGGACTGCTCCAGGTTCCAGTTGTAACACTAAATCCTCGTTGAGGGCTGACGATAGAGGTTGACTATTGGGAATTGGGAACGTTGCTTTCTTTAGTTGCGAAACATGAAAAACGTCGTGAATACGAGCTGAAGAAGGTAGGGCTAGCCTGTATGCCACAACCCCAATTCTGTCCGTGATTACAAAAGGACCGTAAAACCGTAGGCTCAATTTTTCATTATACTGATGGGCCAAAGAGCGTAACCTATATGGTTGTAACTTCAAATAAACAGAGTCTCCTACCTGAAGTGTAACCTCTCGGCGATGGTGATTAGCATACACTTTCATGCGGTTTTGAGCCTTGAGAAGATTTGCCTTTAACTCCTCAATAATATGGTTTCGTTGTTGAAGTTGTTGGTCAACTTCGTCAACTGGAGAGGTATGGTCCACATAGCATAACACTATTGATGGTTCACGACCATAGAGAGCCTTAAATGGACACATTCCCGTGGAGCTATGATAAGTGGTGTTGAACCAAAATTCTGCCCATGGAACCCATTTTGGCCACTGTTGTGGGTGGCTATTAACAAAGCATCAGAGGTATATCTCTAAGCAGCGGTTTATAACTTCTGTTTGACCATCCATCTGCGGATGGTAGGCTAAACTCATGTGTAAATGTGTCCCGGACTATTTGAATAATTCAGCCCAAAAATTGCTCATGAAAATTCTATCTCAGTTTGAAACAATGCTTCGGGGAAACCCATGCAACCGGACTACTTCTTTGATAAACAGATCCGCTACCACTTTGGTTGTGTACAGGTGTTTAAGGGTGACAAAATGGCTGTATTTTGTCAAACGATCGACCATGACCAAAATAGTATCAACCCCATTCGCTTTGGGCAGCCCCATAATGAAATCCATAGAGACATCATCCCACACTTGATTAGGGATAGGTAATGGTTGAAGCAAACCTGCTGGACTTACTGCGTCGTATTTATTTTGTTGACAGACGCGACAAGCAGCTACAAATTCCTTGATATATTTCTTCATTCCCTCCCAAACACCACATTCGAGATCCGCTTATACGTCTGAAAAAATCCAGAAAGGCCCCCAATGGGTGAAGCATGAAATTCCTAGAGTATCTTTTGGATGTGAGGCCCCGATTTAAGCAACACTAACTTGTTATGGAACAGCAGATGGCGTCCCACCAATCTGAAAGGAGGATGGATGTTCGGGTCAATTAGTAGTTGTTGTATTATCCCACGTAATCTGGCATCTTGCTGGATTGCGTCTTCTAATTTGTCTAGTCCAGAAAAACAACCCACAGACAGAGCATGATGCTCGACCGTATGAAGCATCCTGGAAAAAGTGTCTGCTACTTTGTTTTGCGGTCCAGGTTTATATTGGATATTGAAATCTAGTCCCAATAGTTTGATAACCCATTTCTGTTGACTTTCACTTAATAGTTTCTGGTCTGTTAAGAAATGGAGACTCTGCTGATCTGTCCGGATAACAAAATGTCTTCCCAAGAGATAATGGCACCACTTTTGTACAGCCAATACTACCGCCATTAATTCCCGCTCATAGACAGATTTCAGTTTAGAATTGAGAGACAACCCTTTGCTGAGAAATGCGATAGGTCACCCTTCTTGCATCAATACAACCCCTAACCCGCTGCCAGAAGCATCGGTCTCTATAATAAATTCCTGAGTGAAATTTGGCATCCGTAGGACAGGGACACTGGTCATGATTCTTTTTAACTCTTCGAAAGCCCGTTGAGCTGATGTATTCCACACAAAAGAATCCTTCTTCAATAGGGCAATGAGTGGAAGAGCTATTTTACCGTAATCATGCACAAAACGGCGATAGTATCCTGTCCCCCCAAGAAATCCTCTGAGTGCCCTGATGTCCTTTGGTTCTGACCATTTAGTTATGCTGTCTATCTTTGAGGGATCCACGGCCACACCCTTAGCTGACACTACATGTCCCAAATATTCTAACTGTAGCTGTCCGAATTGACATTTCTTCTGATTTACCACTAGCTGATTCTCTAATAATACCTGCAAAATAATGCCTAAATGCTTCGCATGTTCGTCCATCTCCCTGCTATAAATCAGTATATCGTCAAAGAATACCAATAAATTTTTTTTTTTTTAAGTAAAGCCTGAATACATCATTCATGACTGCTTGAAAGGTCACCGGTTCATTGGTAAGGTCGAAAGGCATTACGAAAAATTCATGGTGCCCTTCGTGTGTTCGAAAGGCAGTCTTGTGTGTGTCTTCTGGTTTCACTTGAATTTGATGATATCCGGACTTCAAATCAAGTTTAGAAAACACCGTTGCCCCTTCTAACTCATCAAACAATTCGTCGATAGCAGGGATCGAAAATTTATCCGGAATTGTCACCTTGTTAACTGCCCGATAGCCTACACAAAATCGCCACCCTCCATCCTTCCTTTTCTCCAATAAAACAAGGCTGGAGAACAGACTGATGCTCGGCTTTATAATTCCTGAAGTCAGCATTTCCTTGACAATACGCTTTATTTCATTTTTCTGATAATAAGGATATTGGTATGACCTGAGGTTTGGTGGTTGTGCACCTGGAACTAACTGAATGGCATGATCTTTTGACCGGACAGGTGGTAACCCTGGAAGAGGCTCAAAGACTTTGCTAAACTTTCCCAAAACCTCCAGCAGTCTCTCATCGAAACTCCCAATCTTTTCACACTGAGTCTGTATCTGCCCAAACTCTATCAAACAGCCCTGTCCTTCATTCTGCCATGCCTTAATAATCGCTTTGAGGAATACCATGGTTTTGCTAAGCGACGGATCCTCGTACAGACAAACTGTCTGGTTTCCCAACGTGAACCTCATAGTTTGTTTCCTCCAATCCGTAAGGGTCTCGCCTAAAGTCTCAAGCCAAGCAATACCAAGAACTACGTCAGCACTGCTCATATCAAATGGGGAAAAAAATTGCACAATTGTCACCCCCTGCAATTCCATACACACATCCTGACATTCTCCTTCACACCTCACACTATACCCATCACCTACTCTGACCCCGAAAGACTACGTCCCTACCACTGGAATTCTCAATCGTTCTACCACCGTTGAACTAATAAAATTGTGGGAAGCCCCACTATCAATCAACACAATCACTTCCTTACCTTGGATTCTTTCCTTGAGCTTCATTGTCTTCGGACCCTGGATCCCCACCATTGAACTAAGAGAAAGCTCCACATTTTCCTACTGTAGCTCTGTTCTTGTTTCGACAGTATCTCCAGTCCCAATCAGATCTGAATCATCTTCCTTGTCATCAATCAAAATGAGCTGAAATTGTTTCTCCCCACATTTGTGCCCAATCGAATATTTCCCACACACCTAAAGCAAATCCCTTTCTCTCTTTTCCTCTAGATCTCTGCATCTGTCATTTGACGGAAGGGAAAATCTTGCCGTAGGAAGTTCTGACATTCGAACGGTCGGAAAGATGTAGTCGACTGATCGCAAGTGGAAAGGTTGGTCGACGAGCCTTGCATGGAGGATTCTGGTGATTGACGATTGAAATGGGGCGTGAAATTGCTTTTTAGGGATTCGGCTGAATTGGGAAATTTTAGATTAACTGGGTTATGTTCAAATCAGGTTAGGCTAGTCAGGCTATGTTCAAACCGGGTCGCACTCTTGGATCCTTGGTTGTTGGACCCATAAGATAGCCCAAACCCAACTGTGCGTGAGGTCTTGTGGGCTCCCACTTGGGCTTTTTCTAAAACCCGATTTTTGTCTTCTATTCGTTGGGCCAATTCCATTATTTGGGTTAAAGAATTTCGTTAGGCCAATCTGACTTCAGCCCTAATCTCCACCTTCAGCCCATTCACAAAAGCAGCCTGCAATATTTCTTCTTTCTCCCCCACCAACAACGCTGCTACTGCTTCAAATTGGCGACGAAACTCCATGACTGAACCATTTTGCTTTACTGCCATTAAGGATTCATATGGGTTAAGTTCTTGTGATCCATTAAAACGTTGCAATAGTGCTAACTTAAACATAGCCCACGAACTTGCCGGATTTTTGGATTCAGTCCACTGGAACCAGTTTATAGCTTCACCTTCCATACAAATGGTTGCCACCGTTAATTTTCCTTCCTCCGATATCCCACTGAGACTGAAGTAACGCTCTACTCTAAAGATCCACCCGTAAGGATCTTCACCGAAAAATATCGGCATCTCCAATTTTCGTCCCCCCATTTCACTACAGCTGTGGCCACTGTTCCCAGACCCACTGGCTCCGCTTGGGTTTTCTTCTTGGTGAGATTGTACATTCTTCCCTAATCGCATCTCTGCCCTACCAATTTCTATCTCATCTTTCCGTCGCACCCAAGACTGCAACTCCACTAAACATTCTCTGATACCAATTTCTCTCTCAACTTATTCATTCTTGCATCCATCCTTGTCAAGATCATTACCCAGATGACAGGGCCCTGATACCAATTGATAGAACCTGACCTGCAAAAACTACTAACAACACCAACAAACAATTCCACAACACACAACCAACACTCATAATTAATAAGAAAATACTCAGTTGTATTAATAACAAACAGAACCTTACAACCAGTGCAAATACAACCAGTAGCCAGGTTCAATCAGTACTCAATACGCAAACAACTACTACACTAAGAAAATGGTAAACTAAAGGCTGACTTCGGGGGTCAATCACCTCCACTAAATATTGACTTCGAGGGTCAGTCACCTCCCTTCCAATTTACTTTTGCCTTCCCTATCCCTCTTTCTCTCCCCTCTTCGTTTTTATTCTCTCCTGGCACCTTTTGTGCTCCTAACCGAATTCCCCTATATCCACTCCTAACAAGCCATCTATCCTTTCTAACAAACTCAACCTTTTACGCACAAATGTCAACAATTATTCCTTTTCTTTTTACCCCAGCTCTTCCTACAGTATACTAGCCCTCTTGGTTGTTCATCACATACACAAATAATAACTCATTCTGACCACCATCGCTACTAGTCAAGCATCATATGAGCAAAACAGATGAACATAATCATAAAGAGTAGAACAATATAAATGACTACGAGAATTACAGAACCACTACACACTAACTCAACATTGCCTTTATAGCATTGGCAAAAAGTTAACCAAAACCTCATATTAGATCAATAATTTTAGAAAAGAATCACATCAATAAAGAATAACATGGGAAAAAAGAAAATAAAGAAGAAACAAGAAAATTTAACTNTTCTTTATCCATTAACTTCAGCATAAATAAATCAATATAATCTTCAAATATTTTATTTTCCTTTCAACGCCACTGCCTTATATCTTATATGTTTATTGTAATTTTTTCTTATTTTTCAAGAAATGAAGACCATAGAGCAGGTGGACCGAAATTTGCATTTTAATCAAGTATTCTTTCCCCAGCCATTTTCAAGAATTTCTTGACAAACTTCATGCTTAAATATGCATGTGAAGATTTCATAAAGTGTCAATTATGGGTACTCACTAAGCTTTGTCAAATTTGATGAAGATGTAAAGATTATCTCACGTCTTTTAATTATAAGAAATTTCTTCAAAAATATGATTCTCAAAATCAATTAACTAACACTAGTTCCTTCATAAGAAACCACACAATAAGTTGAGCATATCAGAAAAAATCTAAAATATTGATAAATAATAACTTATTCGAGTAAAAGAAATATTAAAATATATATTAAGAAACGGGCAATAAGAAAGATATACAGTACCTCATTTGCATGTAATATTTGATCAGAATGTACAAAAAAGTCTGCTTTGAGGTCCATTGGCCATTTTAGACCAAGACACTTTTCAGACCTAAAAGTTTATATTTTGGTTAGAGAGGAAGGTGTTCAAGTAAATAATCATCCAACTGAAGTATGATAACAGAGACTACATTCAGAAAACTCACCAAAAGTACTCATTTAGATCATCATAATTCCTCCATTTTGAATGGCTTGCCTTTCCACCTTTGTTTCTCCTAGCTTCCTTTTTCACCAAATAAAAAACAACTTTCAGTTAGGAAGTCATAACCATGGAACAGATAATATTAGCATTACAATAAAATAAAAGTTACCTTCCGCAAGACCTCATAGATAGGAATTATAACATCGTGCAAAAATGATTCTTCATCACGTACACCTATTTGATCTGTGTCTTTATCGCTAAATAGAATTTTATAAACCGCATTTGCCATCTTTCAAAACCAGGAAAATGGAAGAGTTACTTTCAGTTATGTAGAAGCCAAGAGAAAGAGAGAGAAGGAGAGAGATCATAATTAGAGAAATAATATAACATCATAAAATATTAATTATGGCCATTAATTGCCAGATCAATTGTTTGGTTTTCCAAGAAAATTAAGAATTTTATTGCAGACAAGAAAAATGAAAAGTAATATGTATTTGGCTACCATGCGACCAAACAAGTGAAAAAAAATTGGCATTGTTTCTGGTATAATCTTATCTGATTGTGAAACTATCAACGATAAAGACAGCACATGTTAACCAAGCTCGGCTGTATTAAAATTTTAAGTTAAATATGACACCATAATCCTAGTTTAACAGGATGAGCATATTTGTAAATCTACATTTTAGGCTACAATAACTTTTTTCTTCGTAAGAAAAAAAATTTAGTTGGAATGCGTATTTCTCTCTTTCATATTATAAATAAAACTTGAAAATTTACACAATAATAATTAGTTGCTTTATATTTCTCTTTCCATAGAAAAAAGCCAGGAATCATAATATTCATGATGAAATGAGAAAAGGTAAGCACAGCCCAAGCAATCATGATATAATTAACAACTAGTCAAGAAACAACCTTGATATTCAGTTGAAATGAAAATTGAACGTACATTATGGAAAATGTAGCAAATACATTCGGGCATAAATCGAATATTTGAAGCTTCACCCCAAATGAGAAGAAAAAGCCCAATGTAGATGAGCTGTAGCTGCTGCGTGTCAGAACCTAGGCAAATCCTGCAAAGTGAAAATAATCAACTAGCTCATGCAAAATCTAAGCAGCAGCTTATATTAGACAGTAGGACAAAATTTCTCATATATTCAATACCCGAATGTTTAAACAAGCAAACTTACCTAGTATTTGATTCACAACGCAAATAATTACACCATGACCAATAATTCTTGAAAATTTTGTCCATTAACTTCGCTACAGAGCCACTACTCATCTGTGACAAGCTATTATTAATCCTTGATATATGGACATGAGAATAAAACCAAGGCAGCTGTAATACAAATTGAAAAAGTATGAGAAATCAAAAAGTAATAAGCAGCCCACTTGAACTTTACCAGGGTGTAGTTTTCAAGATTCTTATTCCTGACATCCATATTGGCAAGCAGCAGTATAAGGTGCTCCCTCTGGTTTGCTACATTAGCTTTCTACAATTCCCACAAAGATTCAACAAAAGAATGCCATTAGATAAGAGGGATAGAGTTTTAGGCTTTTTTTTTAAAAGGTGTCAGGCCGTCTAAAAATAACCTATTCATAACATGCATGTTCTCCACGTGAGGATGTTAACATAGAGGTGTAATAATACACAGAAGGTCAGGAGAAGAAATTAAGTAACACAAATCTTTTGTTTTCAGTCAAAATTAAAGAAATAAAAAAGAAGTTGAGATGAAATTCATACAGAGAAAAAATTCATATAATCAACCCTATCTGTTTTGGAGTTGAGGCTAAGCAAGTTCTCTCTATCGTAAAATTTATTAAATTGATAAATGTTCTTGATAAGGATAGTAGGGGTTTTTTAAACCTAGGATTTATTTTAGTTTTATTTGTTTGAATAAAGGGATAATCCTGGACCTAAGAGTTATCAGGATATCCAAATACAGTCTATATAATTAGACTGCTGTAACCTATGCTAAAGTAGAATACAATAATAAAACTTATCAAGTGTTTTCTTCATGATTTCATGGTATCAGAGCCAGGTTCCTCTGCCTATAAATACTAAAGGTGAAAACTGCCATGATTGGTGAGAGAAAAGGCAAAAGCCAAAGTCCTCCACCTGTTTGAGATTCATCCTCCAGTCCTTCATCTCATCAAATTCCATCCTCCTCAAATACGAGATCTGGACAACCAAAAGTCCAGTTTTCTTCAGGTAATGATAATAATTCATCCAGATCAGTGTTCACAAATTGAATAGAAAGAATTACGTCTCGTGGTCTCAAGCGGTGAAGTTGATGGTTTGAGGAAGAGGTAAACTAGGCTACTTGACTGGTACGATTAAAGCTCCACAAGAACATGATCCAACATACCTAAAATGGGATGCTAAGAATAGTATAGTGATGGGATAGTTAATCAATTTCATGGAAGAGGAGATTGGTCAATTGTACATGTTTCTTCCCACTACAAAGGATATTTGGAGAGTTGCAAAGGAAACATACTCTGATGTGAGGAACTCAACATAGATATTTGAGTTGAAGTCTCAGTTGAGAGAGACCAAACAAGGGAACATGACTGTAACTCAATACTATAGCGTTTTGGCTAAATTGTGCCAGGAGCTGGACTTGTTCTTTGAAGCAGACTGGAGTTGTTCTCAGGATACTACCAAATACACAAAAATGTTAGAAAAAGAGAGGGTATTGAGTTCCTTGTAAGTTTGAATAAGGAACTAGATGAAGTAAGGAGTAGGGTTTTGGGAGAAGAATCTCTACCTTCTATAAGGGAAGTATTTGCAGAGGTTAGAAGAGAAGAAAGTAGGGGGAAAGTAATGATGGGTGAATTAGTAGGATCCAGTAGTTTAAGCACACCATCAAAATCTTCAGCTTTGGTTTCAAAGGGTCGGGACAAATCATACTAGGTCTGATGGAAAGCAGAGGATGCAAAAACGAGGAGAAAAGGAGAATATCTGGTGTGAGTATTGTCATCGGCCAAAGCATACCAAGGTTACCTGCTGGAAACTACATGGCAGGCCAACCAATTGGAAGATTAATAAGGCCGGCGGCAAGGGATTTCATGCTGGGATAGAAGAATTTGGAGATCATCCAAGGTATGTACCATTCAGCAAAGAACAATTGGAACACTTACAAGAATTATTCAATCAGTCCAACTTTGGTTCCTCTGATCGCTCTTGTTCATTCGCTAAGACTAATAATTCCCTCACAGCTTTGCATACTAGTATAGGAACAACCAATTCTTGGGTTATAGATCCAAGGGCCATGGATCATATCTCAAGTAACTCAAGTGTGTTAGTATCCTACAGCTCATGTTAAGGTAATCTAAAGGTTAGAACAGCTAATGGTTCTTTATCAAAAGTAGTTGGTAAAGGAACCATCAAATTGTCTGAAAATCTTTGTCCACGATCTGTCCTTCATGTGCCTAATCTGACTTGTAATCTCCTCTATATTAGCAAATTGACTAAGGACTTAAATTGTGTGGTTAATTATTCTTCTTCTCATTGTGAATTTTAGGACTCTCTCTCGGGCAGAATGATTGGCAATGCTAGAGAAGGAGGAGAACTCTACTATTTTGATGTCAAGGATTCTGAGAATAATCAAGCTATAGCATCTATCAAAAGTAGTTGGTAAAGGGACTATCAAATTGTCTGAAAATCTTTGTCTACAATCTTTCCCTCATGTGCCTAATCTGGCTTGTAATCTCCTCTATATTAGCAAATTGACTAAGGTCTTAAACTGTGTAGTTAATTTTTCTTCTTCTCATTGTGAATTTCAGGACTCTCTCTCGGGCAGGATGATTGGCAATGCTAGAAAATGAGGAGAACTCTACTATTTTGATGTTAAGGATTCTGAGAATAATCAAGCTATAACATCTAGGTGTAATTCTGTCTCTATGTCCAGTAATTCAGAAGTAATGTTTTGGCATCATCAATTAGGTCACCCTAGTTTCCCTTATTTACAAAGATTGTTTCTAGTGTTATTTAGAAATAAAAATCTAGTACTATTTGAGTATGAAATCTGCCAAATTGCAAAACATACCAAATCAATATTTCCAACTAATCAATACAAGAGTTCTAGGCCATTTTCTACAATTCATAGTGATATTTGGGGATCATCTAGAGTTAAAAAAATTGTTAGATCAAAATGGTTTATTACTTTCATTAATGATCACACTATACTATGTTGGGTTTATCTTATGAAAGAAAAATCTGAAACAGGTAGAGTCTTCCAAAATTTTCATTACATGGTTAAGAATCAGTTTCACACACATATTCAAGTCTTAAGAACAGATAATGGTAGAGAGTACTTCCATTCTAGCCTAGGAAACTATCTACTCGGTCATGGAATAATACACCAAAGTTCTTTTGTAGATACCCCACAACAGAATGGTATTATGGAAAAGAAAAATAGGCACCTTTTAGACGTTGCCCGAGCACTTATGTTCACCATAAGCGTGCCTAATTATTTATGGGGGGAGGCAACAACTTATTTGATAAATCACTTGCCTACTAAGATTTTAGAGTTTCATACGCCTCTCTCCATTTTTCTTCAGACATTCCCTGATTTTAGAGTCTTAAACTCTCTGCCTTTGAAAGTCTTTGGGCGTATTGCCTCTGTTCATGTTCACTCTCATAACAGAGGCAAGTTAGATCCTAAGGCCATTAAGGTGTGTTTGTAGGGTAGTCTCTCACTCAACAAGGATATAAGTGTTAATGTCCTATAAGGAAGAAATTGTTTGTCTCTAAAGATGCGACTTTTTTAGTCACAACCTTATTTTCCCAAACCCTCTCTTCAAGGGGAGAACTCACAGATTGATAATGAAGATAGTGTTTGGGAAATAACATTTCCCAAAAGTCAGAATCCTACCGCAAGTCAAACTCCTACATCTACTCAGAATCCTAATCCTACAGCAAGTCAGACACTTTACATCTACTCAGAATCCTACATCCACTCCAAGACCTCTGAATCAAAACTCCACTTTAACTCAAATCCATCCTCTCACCAGTCATATTCTATCAAAACAAAAAATCTTGAAAACCCTATAGCAGAAGAGAATTTTGACACTTTGACTCAAGAACATATGAAGAAAAATGGAGGTTTGACTAGGCTAAATCAACCAGACCTTAGTTTATTCTTGGAAACCTACTTATCAAGACAATGAGAATCCTTCCGACGATCTGCATGGCCAGTCATCCCAACCGAAAGAAGTCAATAAATCACAGCCTTCAGGTACAAAAATTTTGCCTCCTAGTGAGTCTGAGTTGAATGTTGATCTTCCTATAGGTCTTAGGAAAGGGGTTAGGTCTTCTACTCTAGATCCTATTTCTCATTTTGTGTCTTAAAATAATCTATCTGTTGATTGTCAATTGTTTGCTGCTAATCTCTCAACCATAGAGGTTCCTAAGTCAATATATGAAGCATTCGATGATCCTAAATGGAGCGAAGCTGTAATAGAAGAGATGAAGGCCCTTGAGAAAAAAATGGAACATGAGAATTGGTGAGCTTACTTGAGAGGAAGACTATTGTGGGCTGTAAATGGGTGTTTACAGTAAAATATAAGGCAGATGGTTCAGTTGAGAGATAAAAGGCAAAGTTGGTAGCTAAAGGATTCACACAAACCTATGAAATAGATTACCAGGAAACCTTTGCCCCCATAGCCAAGCTGAATACTATTCGAGTTCTCCTTTCCCTAGCTACAAACTTAGGCTGGCCCTTGCAACAGCTAGATGTAAAGAATGTTTTCTTGAATGGTGACCTGGCAGAAAAGGTGTATATGGAGTTGCCACCAAGTTTTGCAGGTAATCAGATAGGAATGAAGGTTTGTAAGCTAAAGAAATCCTTATATGACTTAAAACAGTCTCCTAGGGCCTGGTTTAAAAAATTTACCAAGGCTATTAGAAGTTATGGGATCACACAAGGTTAGACTGATCATCTTTGTTTTTCAAGAATAATGGAAGTAAGATTACTGTCTTAATAGTATATGTAGATTATATTGTTCTTGTAGAAAACAATCTGGAAGAAATGGAGATGGTAAAAAAGGTTCTTGCCAAGGAGTTTGAGATAAAGGATCTGGGGCGATTGAGATATTTATTAGGGATGGAGGCTATCAGGAGTTAGAAGGGAATCTCTGTTTCTCAAAGAAAATATATTTTGGATCTGTTAAAAGATACTGGAATGTTATGGTGTAGGCATGCTAAAACTCCTATTGAACCAAATGTGAAGTTTGACCAGGACAGCAGGTATTAGACTGGTTGGAAGGCTAATATACTTGGCCCATACAAGGCCTGACATAGCCTTCTCTATAAGTGTGGTAAGCCAACACATGCAAAACCCATAGGAGAAGCATCTTGAAGTTGTAAATAGAATCTTAAGATACATGAAGATGACACCTGGGAAAGGACTTTTTTTTGAGAAAACTAATGAAAGAAAGGTGGAGGCATTCACAGAAGCAGACTGGGCAAGTTCATCGAGTGATAGAAGGTCAACTTCAAGGTATGGTACCTTCGTTTGGGGAAATCTAATAACTTGGAGAAGCAAGCTATGGTTGCAAGGAGCAGTGCAGAAGCTGAATTTTGGGCAATGGCACAAGGTATTTGCAAGCTGATATGGCTAAAACGACTCTAGGCAGAACTAGAAATCAAGAGTGAAGATCCTATGAAGCTCTATTGTGATAACAAGGCTGTAATTGGGATTGCACATAATCCAATACATCATGATAGAACCAAGCATGTGGAGATTGATAGGCACTTTATTAAAGAGAAGATTGAGGACAAGTTGTTCTGTGTTATCTACATACCTACTAGCCAACAGACTACGACATTCTTATAAAAGGATTGTCTAGACAGAATTTTAACAATCTTGTTTCTAAGTTAGGAATGCTAAATATTTTTTCATCAGCTTGAGGGGGAGTGTAGAAGTTCTTGATAAGGATAGTAGGGGGTTTTTAAACTTAGGATTTATCTTAGTTTTATCTGTTTGAATAAAGGGATAATCCTGGACCTAAGAGTAATCAGGATATCCAAATAGAGTCTATATAACTAGACTGCTGTAAGCCTATAACCTATTCTAAAGTAGAACACAATAATAAAAATTACTAGGTTTTTTCTTCCTGATTTTAGATAAAAACATTGTCCAACTCATAAATTCAAAGTTTGGAAGAAAAGGGATGGGGTAGTTACTAGTGACATTGTGTATAACTAGCTGTATGACCTTGTGAAATTGAAAATTAAAGTCTGAAATTTTTCATCAATTTTTCAAAATGAACAACCTATACAGTGGATTGGGTGCAATGTCAGCTTAGTAATAAATTACCCAAAGCCTATGGCATGTGAGATGCAGATAGACAAAGAAGGGAAGTAGGAATTCAAAGCACAATATACCTGAAACCCAAAAATTTGAGAAAGCCAATCAAGTATGTCGACAACAGGTTTATCCCTCTCATCAGGCAAGGCACCAGGAACTTTGGGTGTCGAATGAACTCTACACCTGGGAAGCTTTTGCATATTACGGAGAGCATAAAGTGCAGCTTTGATCTATATTTCCAAAAGAGAAAGAAGTGATGATAGGGAATATTTAAGGAGCACAAGTGAAACCAAGATAAGTAAATACTGCAGATAAGCAACCTCAGGAAGTTCCATAATTGCTGATTTAGCACAAGTGGCATTCAGTGGAAGAATGTTATATTGTTCAAATTGTTCCCTTTTGCTCCAAACATCCTCAGCATACTTGCGCGTCTGTAGTTACAAATCAGTTGTACATCCACTACTTTAGAACTTCCAGATGCAACCATGCACTTTTAAAAAAATTATCACAGTACTGATGTTATACAAATCGAACCTTATCATCAATTTTTGCAGAAGGCACCACAGTTTTCACCACATCATACAATATTGTCGCAATCTGCCAAATTTTGGCCATCTCATCCCTTCAATATTAAGCAAAAACCAAAAAGAATAAGACAATAAATACTAAATTGGCAAGTCAATAATTCAAAGTCAACCCTTACAGCTTTTTGGTATGTGCAACTTTATTGATATAGTTCTCACAGAAAATCTGATAATACAACTGGATTTCTCTTGGATCGTTTCTTGCAAGCTGGCGTATTGTCTCCTCTTCTTCCTGTAACCAAGAAAAATTTAGGATGTTCTAAATTATTTTTTGGAATTGAGATACATTGCTACATTACAGTTTCAATATTGAGCCTGGAAAGTAATAAGATGTGGCAAAAACTATTAGTCACTTAGTTCATGAAGCATAAGCTTAGAGAATGAATAAGATAACAATCAATGGTAGAGATAATCAAAAGCTGTTATGAAGCATTCAAAGTGGAGATTGGAAATTCAAGATCAAGACATGCACACTTTTTTAGGATTGATTTGCATAAATACTTTGTAAAGCTAACCGTTTGCATGTTTGTAATATTGATTTTAACTTTGTAAAGCTCAAGTCTTGTATATTTAATTTCAAAATTGCCAAATGCTTTTGGAATAGGATGGAAAATGACTTAGATTTAATTTTCTAAAATCCTTAAGTGACCAACATTTGTCTCGCCATCCATTTGCATCATTCATTTGGGACCCAAGGGCTTGCATTTTTACAAGCAAACATTGGGATTTTCATTTCTAGGCATTCAAATGTCCGCCAGTACATGACAATCCACATGATTCTCCAACAGGTTACTCATGACAATTTTAAGTGTAAAGGCTAGTTTTGCCACATCACACTCAGATGTCGATCTATGACATACGCGGACATTCATATGTTTCCATATTTTTGAAAAACTTTCAATCAACAAGTTTTTCGGGTTTCTCCAATAAATCCTTCTCTAGCTCCTTTTTTTTTTTTTTTTTTTACTTTCACAACCTTAGAATTTGTTATAGTCATTTCAAAAAGTGCTTAGGCAAAGGCTTTAGCTTCAATATGGTTAGTACTTTTTTTTTTTTTTTTTCCTAATGCTAGGAAACAAAGTTACTATACTAGAGTAATTTGTTAATATTTCAACTTTACTCTTAGTTAAGCTAATTTCTTGTAAGTTTTGTTTCGAGTGAGAGAGGTTGGGCTAATATTTGTGCATCTACTCATCGAGAAAGATTTTGGATTTTTTAATTTTCTATTGACCACTTAGGATACCTTAAGAGTAGATTATACTGGCCTACACTTGTCTAAGAGACATTTGTAAATCAACTGGGTTGAGGTGTGGGCATATCAGCTTGTTGGGGTCTAATTGCTATTTGAAATTCAATTTGGTTATCAAGGTTCAATCAATACCCAAAGGCCAATTGCCGGTTTTGGGTTTGAAGATTGAAGATAGAGAAAATTTTCACAGGGGAAGTTAAAGGAGTTGACATAAGTGGGTTTTCTAAACTACTATAAATATATATCAACAATCATAAAAATCATTTAGACAATAAATCAAGCATGGAAAAATAACATAAATTCCCCAAAGAAAGACTATTATTCAATGAAGAAAGAAAAGAACAATCATAAAAACCACTGGTAACTTTTAGGTGGACCTTCTCAAGTCTATGCAACAGTTTTGTCTTAAATTGTCGAGCACCACGTCGACCTGATGTTGGATCCATACTATGAGCCTTTTCAAATGCATGGAAGCGGCCTAGTAGAAAGAAATACAGTGAGATCAAAGTAAAGCAAATTACCCACCAACAACAAGAAGCATGCTTCTAGTACACTTGTCATAGACAATTAATAGCAATTATAGTCTATAAAAAGACTTGTTTGTTTTTTCAACTTTTAAGTCTGAATATAACTTAAGTCATTCAAACATGTGATGGTGTTTGCTTTTTGACTTAATAGTGACTTTTTAGATAAAATATCATTGCAGGACACGTAAAATCCAATACTTATCAGGCATTAGACTTCTTCAAAGCAATAAAAGAGGAAATAATAACAAACAATTATATCAACAAAGAGCTTTTCAGAAAAAGTAGTAATTTCTGGGATGCTTTTATTCAAATAGTGAGTTTTGTAGTTTAATGTCTATATATAGGGTGAGCCGATATGCATTCTCGACACCCATGTCAATTACACTCACCACTCTTAAAATTTTGACATTTATATTTTTTTTATTTCATATATCTTCATAAATTTAATATAGGTAGTGCTTATGTCAATTAAAAGTACAATAAAAACCAAAAGATTCGTTGATAGGAGTTTAAAATAAAAAACTAAAGTAATTTTAAACTTGAGTAATGCTATGCGTACTAATGGATTTTACTAACCAGTGTACTAAATTAAAGCATAGTACGGGTACCACACGCATAGTACGGATACTATGTGTGATTTTAACAAAGGTTAGTACACTGGTTAGTAAAATCCGTTAGCACGCAAAGTATTATTCTTTAAACTTTTAGTGTTGTCCACTTAAAAAAAAATACATAAAAACATTTTATACGTGCAAACAGACACACCCATTTATAAGTGAATAAGTTAACTCTTGGCATTGATTGGATTTCCCTAATTTTTTTTTAAATTGTAGATTGCTCATAGATATTGCTGAACATGAGATAGATTTGCAGCAACACAATGAAAGAAATTCTTAAAAAATGTTTTACCCAACATTTGCACTTAAATACACACAAACAGATAAATCTCTGTAAACTGATATTTAAAGAAGAAAAGAAAAAGAACTAACAGAGATAAGCAACTCTAGGGTTTTCTTCTTGGATACAATTAGCCGCACGAAGAATGGGAGCAATCTCAGCCAAGGACGAGGGCACAAGCTCACTGTCCATCATCAGTGAGCTGTCTTCAATCTGCAGGCGCACCGACTTCTTCCGTTTTCGATTCATCTTCGTCGACCGCGTCAGGACTTCACCGGAACTCGCAACGACTCGGACCACTCGGACAGAGTGGAAACTGCACTCAGCGTGAGCGGGTTGGTGTCAGTGTTGTTTGTGTTTGGTTTTGGTTGGTGAAGAGTGAGCATGGCTGGTTGTATATAAGTGATGGAGATATGCTTTGAGTGTGAGATAGAGCAAAGCAATTGCTCTGAGAAGAAGGAAGGAACAGATTTGGGGAATTTCAGAAAGAGCTTCCTTTTGAAAGGAGCCGTTGAGCTGTTTGGGGTGACCCGGTGAGAGGACAGTAGATTGACTAGAATACCCCTTAGATTTTATTCCTCATTTGTAGTATATGGATATTTTCGTCATTCCATAAGTGTAAAGCTGTTAGATGATATTCCAATTCAAAATTTATCTTTATTTATTGATGCCACCAATATAAGATTGGAATCTCAAATTTAAAGATTGAATTACTTGCGAAATCAAAATATAAAGTTAGGGATTTAGAAATGTATTACTTTATTTAGCAATTTCTCCTTAACTATAGAACCACGAGATAAGTAAAATAATTTATCAAATTAACTACCGAATAATCATAGATTGAGATACAAAGCCACAATGAAATAAGTACAATAACTTGTCAAATTTAAGGGATGGCATTTTAACTTGTACGAATTGGAGTGTCCAGATTGACCTGTAAAATATGGGTGGTTAAAAACCCGGAAATCTAGGGAACAAATGCGGGGTGAGTGTAGATCTTTGCACTCGATCAAAATGCAGGTCAGGTGCAGTTTTAGTGTCCCACAACCTGCGCGCGCGGGCCAAATTAAATGTTAAGAAATCACTATCACTAAGTTGGTGTATAAGGTTTAAGATTGAGTTGATGACTTTTTCCCACCAAAAAAAACATAATGATACTTTCCCACCCTTAGACTTTTAAAATACCGCTTTAGTACGCAAATATTATGTTTATCTCTGGTTTAGCTAGAAAATACAGTGATTTTCATTATAAAGACGAAAATATCCTTCTCTCACCACTGACATTGGGGAAAAGAGAGAATGACGAACAGTGAAATGAGAACAGCGAACAGTTTGCAATTGGCAAATCAACCTTCGATCTTGCTTAATTTCATCAATCAAACACACCCCAAATTTATCATTCAAACGAGACCTTAGGAAGAGGACGGCGACGATCGGCAAGCAAATGGAGTCTAGCTTGTTAGGAATTTTGGAAAGGGGAGGATAAGGATTCTGGTGGTAGTTTCATGGTGGATTTCCAACACTGGAAACGATCGGAAATCGGCCTGGAAGTTGAAAGATCGCACGATGCACGACTGGCAATCAGCGAGTCAGGGATGGTGGTGGAGGTAAGGATTTTGTAGAGTGGGCTGTGGGGAGTGTGATGGTGGTTTCTGGGGGGATTTCTGGTAAAGAAATCGATTAGAAATCTAGCTTGAAGATTCAGCCGTGTGAATGGAGGTGGTGGTAGGAAATGGTGACTGATGACAACAAATGGAGGCTTGGACTTTGTAAAAGAGGTGATGGGGATTCTTTGGGTGATCTCGGAAATGATTTTGAACACTAGGATCGGTCAAAAAAAGGTAAAAATTATCGGCTACGACACTGCTAACAAGCATTGTCCCCCTTTTCTTTTCTTCTTCTTTGGCAGTCAAAATGTTTATTAGCCATTTTGCTTTCACTTATAACGGACTTTTGACCATTTTGCATTTCCTCACAACAAAAATTACTAACAAAATTATGCTTTGAGTATTAAAGTAGTATTTTAAAAGTATGAGAGTAGGAAAGTGTTATAAAACCCTTTTTTTTTTTTTTTTTTTTTTTTGGGTGACTTTTAATATTCAACAAGTGACCATCTTTAAATTTAGAACGGTAAGTTAAAGTGAAATAAGATAAGTTACCAAATTACTGTCATAAAGTTTAAGATTGGACAAAAGGTACCCTCCTTAATTATCAAAGGATGGATTTAACTTGTCAAATTAATTGCGTTGTAGGGGACAAAGTTTGGGATTAATCGTCACTTCATTTAGCAATCCCCTTTATTTTAAGGATGAGGTAAGTAAAATATCTTATCAAATTAATTATCACATAAATACAAAGTATCAACCATTTATCAACGGTATCAATAAAATTTTACCCTACTTATTTTATTATCTTATCCTAAAAAACCAGAAATACATTTGGTTTAACATTCTTCAAAATCTAATCATATTTTATTCAACTCAAAACATTAATAATTCCATTTCTCAATAAAAGTTTTAAAATTAACAAAAACACCCCCACCCGACACCCACCCAAGCCACTATCACTTGCCAGCAGCCAACGTTGCCGTCACAACGACAGATGACCAGTTAGATCTGGTCGATCATGCGCCAATCTGTTATTTTTCGGCCAAATATCTTGACCGTCGTTTAGCCGTCAATGACAAACGACTAGATTTGTGAATTTGGCTGGAAAATGCCATATTGACACACCGGCCAGATCTAATTGGTTGTGCACCATCCCGACAGCTTCCGGGCACCGTTCGATGATGGTGGCCAATTGTCGACAATAGTTGGGTGAGAGGGGGTTTTTTTTTTTCCCTTTTTTTTGATCAATTTATAAACTTTTATTGTAAACAGTGTTTAGTTAAATTAACAAATCTAAGAGGTTAAAAATAATCTAAATATTTTTAGAAAATATTTTCTGAAAATGTTTCAAAAACATTTTCGACATCCTATCATATTTTCCAAAAATACAATTCAGAATAGAATACTATTGTAAAACACTAAACAAACGGAGCCAATTTTCACATCTCAATTCTTAGGATATCACAAGGCACATATACTTTATAGACATCTTACCAATTACATAATATTTCATTGACAATTAACCAACGACTACATAATTTTACATCAGATTACATAATCCTAAAACCAAATTTATGAGAACAAATGCAATGGGGTTAAACCATAAAGCACTGTTACTGCAGGAGAGCGCAGAAATTTAGATATAGAAATTATTATGAATGCTTCAAGTGTAGTTAAATTGCAGGCAGAATTTTATTCAATCCATTCATTAACTAACCTTGATGAACAATAAATCCAAAAACTTGACAAGTATATTAATGCTTCACCTAGTTGATGAAGAAGATTTGACAACAATTGACAGCCTAAATTTAATAACACAACAGAACCAAGAGTTGATGGTATCAAAGTGAAAAAAAAATTTCAACACTGTTAATAAATGAAAATAAGAAATAAACATGGCACTTCAAAATCTCCTCTTGTTCTTTTTAGGGTTTTGAACACAGTGATTAGATCCCACAATTTTCAGTATATGATTCTACACCATCAAGATCGCGTATCAATGACCAGAAAAAATGAGCATTGGGAACATACATGGAGGAAGATATCCAACAATTGAAAAGGGAAGAACTCATTTGTGATGGAGATGTTCAACTAGAATGTAAGATCTTTGGGATCCTCGATAATCTTTGCCAGGGTTTGCAAGAATTGAGCAAGATCAGCGCCGTATATTACACGATGATCAGCTGTGACATTTACCTGTATAAATTGCAAGTTTGAATGGTAAGAATCTCTGCATTGATTTTGAATCAAGAAATAACCATTTCAAAAACATCATGACAAAACTGTTTGTTACCTGCATCTGGTTCTTCATGCCGATCCTACCATCCTTGGTTGCGACAACGGTGGGCTCAGACGCTCCAACAGCCATTATCGCACCCTGCATAAACAAATTCCAGAAAATACGTTGTCATGTAAGTCAATCCATACAAAATTTACCCGCCTCTTGCAGAGAATCTGGCAGATTGGGACATATTCACACTTGAATAGAAAAATACTTACTGTTCCAGGTGGTAGAATGGCATCAAAGCGATCCACGCCAAACATTCCAAGGTTAGAAAGAGTGAAAGTTCCTGTAAAGAAAGCCAATAATAATAATGAGCAGATATTACTCAGGTAAAAAGTCAAGTATAGCCCTACCCTAATTTCATGTCGGGCCACACCCAAAGAAAGGACATGGAAATATAAAATCACCAAACTAAAACAGTGGATAACTTAATGATACTAAAACTCTTAAACTACCATGATCTAAGAACATACATCTCAGGAAGCAGCTAGAAAAGAAAGCAGTATTTTCATTTATAATTAGTTGAAGCATCATTATGAGGTATAAACTTATGGCACCAGAGCCAGACAAAATTTCCAGGCAGCAGAGAGTATAATCCCAAGGCTCTCTTCTGCCTTTGCTTGTAACAGAAAAAAAGACTGCTATAAATCCAGGTGTGCGAAATCTAACATCCAAATGATTATATGAACAAAATGAAATGGGAAACCCAGGGATCTTGGACCAAAAAATATCAATTAAAACATAGAGCAACAATAAAAAATCAAAAACAGCAGACATGAGATCTTTGCTGTTCAATGCAGCATATTAATTGAAAAGAGAATAAAGGCATAATAAATCTACGAGTTACCCGAGCATTGATGACTATAATCAACTTAAACACAATTCCTAACCCACCAGCCCCCTTCCAGAAACAAAGAAATAAAATACAATTGCAACATTCAAGGTAAAGAGGTTAGGCTACATTTTGCTGACTGCCAATAACTACAACATGGCACAAATTCCAATCACATGACTCCAATTATTTACATAGCCAAGTATCTATAGGAACTAACAAAACATACAAGAGATTTCAGGGGTCAAAAGAAACATCGTCTATCTATACATCATTTCTGTTTGTAGAAAAGTGTGATCAATTACCATGGGAGTATGTGTTAAAGAAGGCCAAATTATAATTCTATAATCATTAGCTACTTAAATTGGATGCCTTGGGCAGGGCTATATGTACCTAAGCCTAAACAAGATTCAGTAAATTTGATTAATGTTGGTTGATCTTAAGGCACAATACAATACCTGGTGTACAACCCTCATAGAAATGCCTATACATAATTACTTATGAAAGAGAAAAATGTTTGAAGAAAAGTCTGAAGACAAAGTATGAACACCAAAAACATTAAAAACTTGTCAGCAAGTTATCAGAACACCCTGCTTTCCACCTTTCTTATAAGACAACATTAACAACCCAAAATGTTCTTCGGCAAGGAAACCATGCACATAACATAAATACTGTAACTTCTTACATCTTTTCTGTCTGCATGACTAATAAGTAGCAAGCAAAACTTGGAAAAATAAACAAATCAGTACAAATTAGGGGGCTTAAATCAGTCAATCTTTGTTATCTTCATAAAAAGTTGCATCATAGATTGCATTTCAACCTAGGAAATTGGAAACATTCTAATGAATTCAATGGCATGATTATGAATACAAAAACTTCACATACAAATATTTTACAATCATATTCATGAAGGAATTTATTTGCTTACCTGTATTGTATTCATGAGGTTGCAGCTGCTTGGCACGGGCCTTATCAACTAACTCTTTCCACTTTCTCGACAATGTGTAAATGTCAGCCTAAAGGATACATTATGAGACTTGTCAAAATTCAGCAGCAAACTCTTTCCACGAGAGGAATGAAAATAAAAGAAACACTAACAAGGCAGAAAATAAGTAAATTAAAACAACCTTATCAGCATCTTGAAGCACTGGCGTAATCAAGCCGCCATCTATAGCCACAGCAACAGCAATGTTGATGCTACTATTATACGTAAAGCTATTACCATCTCTACAACTAGAATTCACAACAGGATGTTTAACCAATGCAAGTGCTGTCGCCTTTGCAAGCAATGCTGTCATTGTCACTCCCTTGGACTTGATCTACAAAAATAAATACAACCGAATTAATAATTCAGAGATACACAAAATCACCAATGTCAGCAACAAGAACAATATTTCATTACATAACCCTGATCATCAGAAAAAAATTCAACATATACACAATTCGAGTGAAAGAACCTTCCTCCAGAGAAGAACATTCTAAACTTAAAGAGTAAACATCATTTACATCCATCTTCGAATTGCAAATCCCTATGATCCAGAGTCTAATCACAGGCAGACAATTTCGAAAATTGGTCTTCCAACCAATTTCAAAATTAAGGGGGTTTCTCTATATTTCAAAGCCAAACCTACAAAGAAATTCCTAAAACTAATTACAGCAAGAAACTAATACCGATTCATCAATTACCCTGATTTATCAAAAACAAAACTTCAACATATACACAATTCTTGGAGCCAAAGTAAACTTTCTTCAGATAATATCACTCTAAACATTTTTAAAACTAAAGAGTAAACTTCATTCACATCCCTATAAACCGCAGTCTAATTTATTTTACGGAACTTGAGAGGGGATTTCTTATGATAAATTTTCTCTTATACTAATTATAGCAATAAACTAATGCCAATTCATCAATAATAGCTAAAGAAAGAAAAATATAAAAATTGTTACCTTCTTGTACAAAGCATCAAGAGCATCAGTAGTAATAGTGTAACCAACTCTAAAAGTAGGAACACTCAAACTCTCCACCATGTTCCTACTCACAGCACCCTGCATTGTCGTGAATGGCACCACACTTCCCAATGCAATCCCTGCCGCCGCAGCTGCTGTCTTAGCGGCCGCCCCACCAGAAGGAGAAGCAGCCACCGGAGTGGCAGCCTCAGCTGCAGCCGCCTCGACATCCTTAGCCACAATCCTCCCCAATGGCCCAGTCCCCACCACTCTCCCTAACTCAACCTTCAACTCCTTCGCTAGCTTCTTCGCGTACGGAGACGCCACTATCCTTATCACTGAGATGAACAAATTGCTTAGGAATAGAGACTACACATTTCAATTTGTATGTATATAGAATTTCCGTACTAATATCTTTCCTAAGTTTGTATCACAAACTTTTGTGTTTCAAGTGATACAGATAAAAACGTAGATGCAAAGAATAGTTCATATACCATTAGCATTTTTAGATCATTACTGATCCATATATATAAGTTTCTCACCTGTATATTGCTTTCGAGGAACTTCCCAACTTATTTATTATGACATCTAACTTATCAACAGCGGGCTGAAGCCTAGCAACTTCGGCAATCGTCTTATTTTCTTCAAGGGTCCCACTCTCAAGGAAAGCTCCAACAATCTTCCCCTCTTTTATCCAGTATGTCCCAAACTTACGCAGTGAACATGCTGGATTCATGTTTCTAAATAGCACCGCCTCACCAACAGTTTCACCATAAAAATGCCATGAGAGATCAAAGACTCGAGAATACAAGTTTGGGATGTAGTCATACTCATCAGTCGTTTTGCCTTTCTCATTTGCCTTGATGACCTTCACAACATGCTCAGCTGATTTGTACGCATGGTCGAGACACTCAACTCTTCTCATCTCATTGTACAATTTCACAGGAAAAGTAGCAACATCTCCCACAGCATACACATCAGGAACACTTGTCCTAAAAAATGCATCAGTCTTGATTCCATCTTTCTCCTCTTCAACCTGTCCCATAAATAATGATGTGAGAGGTCTAGTTCCTACATCGACAAAAACAATGTCGGCTTCCAGCACTCTGCCATCCTTTAGTTTAACTTCTTTGACATCGCCATTAGAGTCAGCTGTAAATCCAACAGGATCTGTTCCCTTAACAGTTTTGATCCCTTTATAAGCATAATAACCCTCATAGAAAGCGGCAATACCAGCGGTGAAGAGTTGAGGCATGCAACATTGTTCAGGACAAACCATAGTAACATCCAAATTGTTTATTCGAAAAGCTGCACTAACCTCAAGACCGATATATCCTCCTCCAACAATCACAGCCTTTCTCTTCTTCTTTGCTTTAACCGCTTCGACCAACTTATCAGCATCATCAATTTCTCTCAAGTAGAAGATATTTTTTGCATCAATTCCTTGTACACCATAATCTGCCAACCTTGCCGGTGAGGAACCAGTTGCAATTATCAATATTTGATACCTGAAGACTTTGCCAGATGCACTAACAAGAGCCTTGGAAGCAAGATCTACTTGAATAATTTCTGTGCTAAGGATCAAGTTTATTCCATTCTCTATGTACCACTCAGGAAGTTGTCTCTCTCCTCCACTTCCAACACACACATGGAAATCTGGAAGTCTGGAAGGTTTGTGAGGGAGAAGATATTCCTTGCTAAGTGTGAAACGTTCATATGGAGCCACCGCTTCTTTTGAGATAATTGTCAGCTCACCGGGCTTTACACCTTGCTTAACAAACTCGCTAGCAGCATATCCAGNCACAAAGGGGAGGAAGAAATGTTTTTCTTCTCATATATAAACTAAGAAACACACTCCTTTGTATATTAGTTAATTAGGAAGTGGAGGTAGTTATAAGTAGACCTGACAAAACGGGCGAGTGGGCCGGGTACGGGTCGGGTCTCGCGGGTATGGGTCTTATGGGTATAGGCCCAAAACGGGTCGATTTAAACGGGCCCAATATTTTGGACCCACACCCTACCCTATACGGGTATGGGTGGACCCGCGGGTGCCCGTACTGTTCACACCAATTTTAGATTTTTGCAGTTACACCCCCAAATCTTCATTTTTGAGCAAAATTTGTCGCCAACCAAACAGAAAAAAGAAACCCATGTTTTCTCCCAAGTTTTCTCACCAGCGAAATAGAAACCCATAACCTAACAAAGAAAAAGATTAAAAAACTTTATTAATTGTCTTTTCATTCCTCATCAACCAAATAAATCCACATAAAAAAATCTGAAAAAAGAAAAAATTTACAGAAGAAAAGCAACAGTTTGAGAATGAATTGACTCTGCAAACAAGCAAAATTGAACAGATCTAAGTATCCTCTTTTACTGTTTAGTTTTTGAAACTTCTACCGCAGATTCTCCATTCTTCAGTCTTCATCCCAACCAAAACCTAACTTTGACTTTAATCACCTCCACTTCCACCCACTTCCACTCCCTACATCCCACATGCCACCTGCTGCCCTTGCCTCATCACTGATCACTGCCCCTGCCTCATCAGTCATCACTAATCACTGCCACGAATATCAACTTCTGAGTTCCGCCTCTCTCTTCACAGATATAATACAAGGGACTTACAAAAATACACCTCAGATTATACACAACTATCGAAGATGTTTGAAGGTAAAATAGCGGAGCCAGAGAAGAGGAAACTGGGGCAAAACGACGACGGCGAATCTGGGTCACAAAAAAAGGCACAAGAAGTTAACAGAGAAGGGACGACTGTGACAGAGGAGAAGCGAAACGAAGACAAGAGAAATGGCAACGATGAGTTTCAGAGGAGAAGCGGCGACGATGAGTTTGAGAGAGTTAGGGATTTTGTGATTTGGGGCAAAAACATGGCCAAACCCCAATTTAGAATTTAGGGTATCCNTTGATAGTAGTGAAAAAACAGGAAAGGGGAAAACTGTTGGAGATCCCATATCGACTAGACACGCTCAAGCCAATGGGTTTATAAGAGTGGACAATCCTCCCACTCAATAAGGCCTTTTGGGTGAGGAGTTAACCCAACTCCAACAAGTGGTATCAGAGCTAGCCCCATTTGAGCTGAGTGATTAACTAGCGGCTGCCAAACTACTTTCATTCATAGGCAAATGGACCATATGGGCTTGACCATGAGGGAGAGTGTTGGAGATCCCATATCGACTAGGCACACTCAAGCCAATGGGTTTATAAGAGTGGACAATCCTTCCACTCAATAAGTCCTTTTGGGTGAGGAGATAGGCCCAACTCCAACAAAAACTATAAGAAAATTTTAATAAATCATAATATATACCAACACAATCAAGCTAAAACAACAGAAAGGGGAGGAAGAAATGTTTTTCTTCTCATATATAAACTGAGAAACACACTCCTTTATCTATTAGTTAAACTAGGAATCCTAATATCAAACAATTAATTAAACTGAACACTAACATAACAATGTAAAGTGACGGTATTGTAAAATTAAAGTGGAGGTAGTTATAAGAGAAAGGGTCAGAATCAGTTCACAACATTTCTTTGTTTTTTCTTTTTTAAATGCAACTGTGAGGTCTTCTAAAATAATAGAAGTAGCTACAGAACTCGAACACTTCTCGAAAGAAGAGGAACAACACCTTGCCATATGTACAAGCACAATGCTTATCACATAGATATACGCAATCGAATCGACTATCGAGGCTTAATTTCTTCTATTATAATATCCCTACATCTTGTATAGAAAATTTAAGTGATCCGGCTACTTGTAGACTGGACATAATAAGAACATCAAAATATGACGAAAACGCAATTACTCTCTTCGGGAAGGGCCGCGCATTTAGCTCCAAATCCATTGTTGGATGCCAGCCTTCTTCCCATGAAAATAACAATACCCACTAGCCACTACCTAAACTCAATCAACCTTTCTATTTAATAAACATTATTTTGGGAAATGTATGTAAGAAACAAGAAAGAAATTAGCTGCTCACGGTGTCGTTGCGCTGCTAGCCTAGCTGTGGCTCTGTGACCTGCTGCGACGGCGACTCCACGAGCACGTGTCGTAGGTGATGGCTTCGCCATTGCCTTGCGCATCTCTTTGAATGTAAACAAGGAAACTGGGGAGAGAAAATAAAATAATAAGATTTTATGAAATCAGACGTCGTTCGGACTTTGGACTAATTAACTTATGCTACTAGATAATATCTATCAAGTCCTCTAATGATCAAATCATTTAGATTCGTCAGTTCTAATTTCCCAGGGCAGTTTGATATATTTTTGAGGGTAGTCCTGCCCTAGAAATTAATCAATTCTAATATAGCTTTTTTTTCTAGGGGGCCCTAGAAATTGTTGGTAGGAAATGGAATTTTTTTTTTTTTTTTTCTTTTTTGGTGGGGGAGGGGGGCGCAGTGTTGAAGCAACAAAAAATTATAGGCAAGTATAGATTCATTGTAAGTTAGCTAAACTGGAATCGACAAGCAACCTAGATATAGATATAGATTGTACCTGCTTGAGTTCTCAAAATTTTCTTGCAAAGGAAAGACCCTGCTTCTTCAGTACATTCAAATTATAAACTCGAGGCTGGACCCTAGCAACTTTGGCCATGGCCTCGTTTTCTTCTGGAGTCCCATTCTGAAGGAAAGTTCCCCAAACCTTCCCATTTATGATCCAGTATGCTCCAAACTTATGCAGTGGTGATACATGATCCATTTTTCCAAACATCACCAACTTGCCACCAAAACATATACCATAGAAATTCCATGAAAGATCAAAAGAACGAGAATAAATGTTAGGGAGGTACTCATATTCATCAATTGCGTTGCCTTCCTCACTTGCCTTGATGGCCTTCACAGCCTGCTCAGCTGATTTGCGAGCATGGTCAACTACTGGATATCTTAAAATCCGCTCATTACCATACAATTTCGAAGGGAAACTAGTTACATCTCCCACTGCATAAACATCAGGAACACTTGTACTGAAAAATGCATCAGTCTTTATTCTTCCCAACGTCTCTCTATACTGACCCTCAAGTAATGATGGAATAGATGAATTTCCTCTATCAACAATCACAATGTCGGCTTCCAGCACAGTCCCATAATTTAGCTTCACTTCCTTGACCTCTCCACTAAAGTCAGCGTTAAACCCAACTACACGAGTGCTTTTAAAAATTTTGATTCCTTTTGATTTATAATAAGAATGATAGGATGCAGCAATTACAGAATTGAACCACCGACTTATGAACCAGTCTTCAAGAAAAACCATGCTGACGTCAAAATTGTTCTTTTGAAAAGCTTCACTAACCTCAAGACCATAATAACTACTTGTAATTATCACAGCCTTCCCATTTTTCTTTTCCTGAATTGCTTCAACCAACTTATCAGCATCATCAATTTCTCTCAAGTAGAAGATATTTTTCGCATCAGCTCCTTGCACACCTGATTCTGTCAACCTGACTGGTAGGCAACCAGTTGCAATTATCAATGTTTGATACCTGAAGACTTCACCAGATGCACTAACAAGAGCCTTGGAAGAAAGATCTAGTCGAACAATTTCTGTGCTAAGGATCAATTTTATTCCTTTGTCTGTGTACCACTCAGGAAGTTGTCTTTCTCCTCCACTTCCAACACACACATGGAAATATGGAAGTCTAGCAGGTGTCTCAGGGAGAAGATATTCCTTGCTAAGTGTGGGACGTTCATATGGAGCCACATCTTCTTTCGAGATAATTGCCAACTCTCCTCGCTTAATACCTTGCTTAACAAATTCCCTAGCTGCATATCCAGCAGCCACACCACCACCAAGGATCACATACTTGAAGTATTCATCATCAGCGCTGGCAACTCTACGAAAGATGATATCCGAATTAGCGTTCAAATAAATGATATTTCTTAATCACAAAAGTTCAAGTTCAAGATAAAGTTCTAAAGATACCACTATTTAATATATTTATTCATTGACCAAAGTGGTCGATTCCCGAAAAAAAGGAATAAGCAGGGAGATAATTAAGTAAAAGGAAACTTTTAACATTAACAAAAGAAATGATACATAAAACTAACACATTAAATCATCCAGAGACAGCGGATAAGTTTATTATCAAAAAGAGAGGTTTTACTTCATCTGTGAGATTGATTGAGAGAAAGGAACACTAATAATTAACATTTTCTTTTTGTCTTGGTTTTAATTCTATATTTTTATCTGTAAAAATAGCAAATTTTTGCAAATTTTGTTTTAAAAAACAGAAAAAAATTACATGTATGACTAAAAGGTTTAAAATATAGAGAACATAAATAATGATGTTTCATTCTCAGCTTTACTAAAATATTTCATATTTACAGAAGCTATTAATAAAATAAAATGTTTTCATCAGTTTTTGAAATTGTTTACGAGAAACAGTAAAAGTTGCAATTTCAAAATTTAGAACAGAAAATAATATCTCCTTTATTTTTCATTTTCTAAATTGATATTGTTTCAAAAATTTCATATGCGTGTCTAAAATAATGACTCCGTAGCTGTACATCCAGTAGCAATGCCACCATCAAGGATCATCTACTCGATGTCTCAATCACAAATCATCAATTTTTTTGTATGCATATTGAATTTCAATAATACTATCTTTCCTATGTTTGTACCTCGACCTTTTGTGTTTCAAGTGATATCGATAAAAACTTAGTTGCAAAAAATAGTTCATATACCATGAGCATTTTTAGATTATTACTGATCCATATATAACGTTTCTCACCTGTATATTGCTTTCGAGGAACGACCCAACTCCTTTATTACGAAATCTAAATTATCAACAGCAGGCTGAAGCCAAGCAACTTCGGCAATCGTCTTATTTTCTTCAAGGGTCCCACTCTCAAGGAAAGCTCCAACAATCTTCCCCTCTTTTATCCAATATGCTCCAAACTTACGCAGTGAACATGCTGGATTCCAGTTTCTAAATAGCACTGCCTCACCAATAGTTTCACCATAAAAATGCCATGAGAGATCGAAGACTTGAGAATGTAAGTATGGGATGTAGTCATACTCATCAATCGTTTTGCCTTTCTCATTTGCCTTGATGACCTTCACAACATGCTCAGCTGATTTGTAGGCATGGTCAACATACTCAACTCTTCTCATCTCATTGTACAATTTCACAGGAAAAGTAGCGACATCTCCCACAGCATACACATCAGGAACACTAGTCCTAAAAAATGCATCAGTCTTTATTCCATCTATCTCCTCTTCAACCTGTCCTGTGAATAATGATGTGAGAGGTCTAGTTTCTACATCAACAAAAACAATGTCGGCTTCCAGCAGTCTGCCATCCTTTAGTTTTACTTCTTTAACATCGCCATTAGAGTCAGCTGTAAATCCAACAAGATCTGTTCCCTTAAAAATTCTGATCCCTTTATAAGCATAATAACCCTCATAGAAAGCAGCAATACCAGCATTGAAGAGTCGAGGCATGCACCATTGTTCAGGATAAACTATAGTAACATCCAAATTGTTGATTCGCAAAGCTGCACTAACTTCGAGACCTATGTATCCTCCTCCAACTATCACAGCCTTCCCATTCTTCTTCTCCTGAATCGCTTCAACCAACATATCAGCATCATCAATTTCCCTCAAGTAGAAGATATTTTTTGCATCAGTTCCTTGGACACCAAAATTTGTCAACCTTACCGGTGTGGAACCAGTTGCAATTATCAATGTTTGGTACCTGAAGACATCGCCAGATGCACTAACAAGAGCCTTGGAAGCAAGATCTACTTGAATGATTTCGGTGCCAAGGACTAATTTTATTCCTTTGTCTATGTACCACTCAGGATGCTGTCTCTCTCCACTTCTTCCAACACACACGTAGAAATATGGAAATCTAGCAGGTTTCTCAGGGAGAAGATATTCCTTGCTAAGTGTGAGACGTTCATATGGAGCCACTGCCTCTTTCGAGATAATTGCAAGCTCTCCTCTCTTGACACCTTGCTTAACAAACTCTCTAGCTGCATACCCAGCAGCCACACCACCACCAAGGATTACGTACTTGTATTCATAATCAGCATCAGCACATCTACAAAAGATGATATTGGTTTTAGCATTCAAATAGATGATATTTCTCAATCATAAAAGTTAAAAATTCAAGATAACATAAAAGTATAACTAAACAGAAAAGATTTACTATAACACATCCACAAGAATCATCAGTTTAAAAAACAAAGAGATTTAAACAAAACTAAACAGATAATATTAGATGTACAAGCTCTTTCGTGCGAACTTATGTGTCATAAAGTTAATGGATGAATGACATGTCAATAAAAGAATAACGACATATCAGTTTGTATATTTAGTTTTTGCATGTAGCACCACACAATGAAAACAGATGCAGGCCAAAGTAGTTGGGAATGATGTATGTGAATTGGCATCAAAAAGTTTAAGGTGATACATTGTCGGGTTTTTTTTTTTAATTCTATATTTTATCTGTAAAAATAGCAAACATTTGCAAATTTGTAAATTTTCTAAAAAAAAAAAAAAAAAAAAAAAGAAAAATAAATAATTACATACATGACGAAAAGATTTATAATATAGAGAAGACAAATAATGATGTTTCATTCTCAGCCTTATTAAAATATTTCATATTTATCAACTAACTGTTAATAAAGTAAAATGTTTTCATCATTTTTTGATATTGTTTACCAAAAACAGAAAAAGTTGCAATTTCAAAAATTTAGAGGAGAAAATAATATCTGCTTTATTTATTTATTTTTAATTTGCTATTGTTTCAAAAATTCCCTATGCGTGTCTAAAATAATGACTCCCTAGCTTTACATCCAGCAGCAGTGCCACAAACAAAGATCATTTACTTGATGTCTCAATCACAAATCACCAATTTCAAGATTGAGGTAAGTAGTTTACAACATAAAGTTTCACAATATGCAACGAATGCAAGTTACATCTTAACCCATGGAAATTCACGACATGCTTGATTTGAGATATATTCGGACATAAGTTAAATGGAAGAAAATTAATTATCTTTAAATCAGAGAAAGTTTATTCAAACCTAACACTAGTTACAATCACAGAGAAAATCCATCCACATATGCATTATAAAGAAATGGATCATCAGGATAGGGGTATAAAAAACAGAGGCTTTGCCTCATTTTTTGTATCACTGAGATGAATAAATAGCTTAGGAATAGAGACAACAGGTTTATTTTTGTATGTATATCGAATTTCAGTAATACTATATTTCGTAAGTTTGTATCTTGACCTTTTAAGTTTCAAGTGATATAGATGCAAAGAATAGTTCATTACCATTGCCATTTTTAGATTATTATTAATCCACATATAAAGTTTCTCACCTGTATATAGCTTTCGAGGAATGACCCAACTCCTTTATTACAACATCCAAATTATCAACGGCAGGCTGAAGCCTAGCTACTTCAGCAATCTTCTTATTTTCTTCAAGGGTCCCACTCTCAAGGAATGCTCCAACAATCTTCCCCTCTTTTATCCAGTATGTTCCAAACTTACGCACTGAACATGCTGGATTCCTGTTTCTAAACAGCACCGTCTCACCAACAGTTTCACCATAAAAATGCCACGACAGATCGAAGACTCGAGAAAACAAGGATGGGATGTAGTCATACTCATCAATCGTTTTGCCTTTCTCATTTGCCTTGATGACCTTAACAACATGCTCAGCTGATTTGTAGGCATGGTCAACATACTCAACTCTTCTCATCTCATTGTACAATTTCACAGGAAAAGTAGCGACATCTCCCACAGCATACACCTCAGGAACACTTGTCCTAAAAAATGCATCAGTCTTTATTCCACCATTCCTCTCAACCTGTCCCCGGAATAATGATGTGAGAGGTCTAGTTTCTACATCACAAAAACAATGTCGGTTCCAGCACTCTGCCATCTTTAGTTTTACTTCTTTGATACCGCCATTAGAGTCAGCTGTAAATCCAACAAGATCTGTTCCCTTAACAATTCTGATCCCTTTATAAGCATAATAACCCTCATAGAAAGCAGCAATACCGGCAGTGAAGAGTTGAGGCATGCACCATTGCTCAGGATAAACCATAGTAACATCCAAATGTTGATTCTCAAAGCTGCACATAACTTCAAGAGCTGTATATCCTCCTCCAATTATCACAGCCTTCCATTCTCTTCTCCTCAATCGCTTCAACCAGCTTATCAGCATCATCAATTTCTCTCAAGTAGAAGATATTTTTGCTCAGTTCCTTGTACACAAAATCTGTCAACCTTACCGGTGTGGAACCAGTTGCAATTATCAATGTTTGATACCTGAAAACTTGGCCAGATGCACAACAAGAGCCTTGGAAGCAAGATCCACTTGAATAATTCTGCTGGCTAAGATCAATTCTGTTCCTTTCTCTGTGTAAGTCCAGAAGCAGTCTCTCTCCCCACTTCCAACACACAAATAGAAATCTGGAAGTCTAGCTGGTTTCTCAGGTAGAAGATATTCTGCTAAGTGTGGAGCGTTCATATGGAGGCACTGCTTCTTTTGGATAATTGCCAGCTCTCCTCGCTAACACCTTGCTTACAAACTCCTTGCTGCATATCCAGCAGAGACGCCACCGCCAAGGATCACGTACTTGAATTGATAAATAGTTCAGCAGCTCTACAAAAGATAATATTGGTTTTAGCATCAAATAGAATCATAAATATAATAAGGATGATATTGGTTCTCAGTTACAAAAGTTCAAATTCAAGATAACATAAATGTAACTAAGACAAAAGTTATTATAATGCTATAAACAATTACCTAACGCAATTTCTTAAGCAACCAGTATTAATATATCTAACATACAAAATATTCACATATACACATCAAAATCTTAGTTTGAGAAAAAGGAATAAGCAAGGAATTAAATAAAGAAAACAGAGACGGGGAAATAAAACCAACCAGAGACAGAGCAAGAGAGAAGTTGTGAATAATGTGGCATTTCATTCATATCATCGTATCACAAGCTATTAATGAAATAAAATGGTTTCACCATTTTTTAATAGTGTTACCTTTTAAGAAAATCAAATTAAAAAATTAGAAAAGAACATAATATTTTAGAACCAGGCAGTGTAAGAAAGAGAAAGTGAATGATTTTTGTAAGCAATTAACAAACTAAAAGAGATGCTAACTTTTAGCATTGTTCACATACCGGTCCATTGGTGCTAAGATTCTGCATCTAACATTCCTCAAATCATTTTGTTGAGCTTGGGGTGTCACTTGGTTTCCGTAACCAAAGGTCTTCATTTTCGGACATTGACAAATCATTAATCTCTTTAAAGCTGAGAATTCAACAGCAATGACTCCACGTAGAAACAAGTGAGGCTTTCCATATCTTCAAGTTCCATGTGTACAAACTAGGAAACATGATCTTCTCTGTTGATGCTCCTTTTTCTCCGTCTTTGTTTGTGACTTGTATTCTATTGATGAGCAATGTGATAGTTTAAGTGTTTTGAGCTTCACCAAGCTTTGACAATGGATGGGCTGAAGAGGTTTTTCAGTTGTTACAGTAACTTACGTTATGTAAGTTAGATTTCCTAAAGTTGGGGAAGCCATGGATGTATCTTTCATCTCAAAGATCTCCTCCAAGTTACTGCAATAACTTATCTCCATTTTTCCCAAACAACCTAGGCTTTGTGTAGAAGCTCTGCTGAAAATAATCTCACTGCTTGAGACAATGTTCCAAGTGTATTTCTCTAAGTTATCAAAGTTTAGATACTGGCTGCCACCCTTCCATATACTTGTCATCTTAGGAAGCAAACAATTCTAAATCCTTCAATGATGAGAACAACTTGTTCTTCACTTGCATTTTCAAGCACTTGAAAATCAAATACATACTCAATTGATTTACAAGTAGATCCTTTAAAGTTTCAAGATTTGGAAACCTCTGTATCACATGGCTAGGTAAAACTTTACCATCGCATTGCACCCACTTCAACTCTAAAAATTTCATATTACTTAAGGAATCCATTGGGGGCTGAACATGACAAATTTCAATCAAGCTGGGATTTCTATTGACATACAACCCCAAATGTTGGAAAGTATAGTTTCTTGCTGGTTCTAATGTATTTTGTAGACATGCGCATACAACCCGTCCCGATTCCTCATCCCGTAGGATCCGGGCGCTCCACAAGACTCGGATACCCGAGACGTGCCATGTAGAAAAACTGCGAAACCTGTTTAAAGACATACTTTTCTGAAACTATCATAGTATTTCCATCTCCAACATCTCAAAAAAGGACATACATCATCTTTCGTTTACAAAAGAAAAGAGTTAGGGAAACTTTGGTATCAGGTTTTTCACTTATACTACACATTCCAAAATATGAAAAAAAGAAATACAGATGGAAAACATGAGTTCTTGAAACGAAAGTCCAAATTTACAATGCGACATAAAATAAAACCCACATAAAAGATGTCAAGCGGCGCAACCCTGAACCTGGGAGGTCACTGCAGCACGATCTCCGGAAGGTCCTGGTGGGGGGGGGGGGGGGGGGGGGGGGGGGGGAGGGAACATTAAAAAGGGGTGAGCTGAAATACTCAGTGAGTGGGGAAAAAGGGGGAGGTTTATAAAAGTTCTTAAAAAAAGAATAATGCTAACATACAACAATTTTCAAGCAAATCATGGCAACAATGTAACTTTATGAATATGCAATAGAACAACCACCCTTCTCACATACAATATATAATTTATTTCTAATCATCCTGCACTCAAAAAATGTACTCTGACTACTCTTTAACGTATCGGACTGTAAAAACCTCAACATTTATTAAAACTTCACCACAACTAGTACCCTGGGGGAAATCTGTCGTACCTGGTGGGCGTCCCACACGCAGGCAGAGCGAGGGATACCTGTCATAACGGCAAGGTCTATCATGCGCGGGCAGAGCCTCAAAAACTGTCATACCTGGCGGACACTCACTCACGCCCAGGCAGAGCCAATAAATCGTCATACGCATGCGCAGAGCCAACTGAAACTGTCATACCCAGCGGAATCCTGCATCGCTCGGGCAGAGCCAAAAATCTGTATTCTGGGGGATGGGTACTTCGTAGGGTGGTTTTTGCACCACAACAATCTCAGCATAATCTCAAGTAACATGTAAGTCAGAGTATAACGATGTGCTTAATCATCATACAAATATCACTTTTAAAAGTCAAAACTCATATAACACATTATAATTAAATTAAACCCAAGAGCAAAATAATAATAAAATATGAATATTTCCTATAAGGATAAGACCTGCCAACATGTGAGATTTCATGGAAATATGGGGGTAAAATGCAGGTTTTTAATATATTTCCAAAACTGACGAAAAGCACCCCATTTTCCCCTTTTTTTTTACCGAGAAAATTATACTAACCCACAAATCTCAGTCTTTTCTTTAACATTTTAACAGCCAAAATCCCTAACTCCCAGCATTTTAAAACTCCATTCAATCAATTATCCAAAAAACATTCAATTAAAACACAATCCAAGCACAATTCCCACATAATGTCTAGCCAGTACATGTGATATATTACCCAAAATAAAAAGACAGCCGAGACACACAACCCATGTTAAATCACCATTATTCACTTCAAATTTTTATGGCATTTAGACACACTGCAGCAGTTCCCATATATATATATATATACATATAAAGCATGCAACCTGGAAGGTTTCCTCATTTGACTAGATCTAGTGTTGTCTCACTCAAATATTGTACAGCGGAACATACAATGGCTATATGGATAATCTTAATCAACATGCAGCATGAAACATTCCATTTAAATCTAATCTGAAGGCATTCCCACCAAACTCATTCAGCTGATGCATGCGAGTAACCCTTTAGTCCGATTTTTACTTATCATAATAAAAGAAAAAGCACACTTAAAAATCACTTACTGCACATGTCAAAAAGCCCTCTCCAGCTACTCACTTTCTTCCTTTACTAATTATCAACAATTCCATTTCGTCTCTACCAGTAAAACAAATTTTCCAAGCATTTGACAATACAAAACTTACCCGAAACTCAACTCAGCCGACAACATGCAAAGGTTATTGACAAATAAAACATCTCACTCAAATCACCATTCACACATACTTCCAAAAGTGATCCAGCCGAGAGCATGCAGGTATTCATCAAGCAAAAATCTCACTTAAAACACAAAACCAAAACACATTAAAGTTCAGCCAAAAGCATAAGAAAAACCAATTTAAACCAAACTTCGCAATTTTCTTAAACTTTCATAAGACATTTAAAATAGAATCACAACTTAACATGCAAACATGGATTTAAGCTTTTGGAAGAAGATTTGATTTAATCCACTCACTCTTCTATCCTATAGTTGGCTGCCTATTACAGTGCTTAGATTTCGATCTCCACCGTTCAGATGTAGAGCTGTGTTCTTATGAACAAACTATCCGAAAATCAGCACGATCGGACGGCGAAAGAGCTCCAGATCACGATTTGATGATCCACTGTTCACAGACTTAAAACTAATAAACTCTCCCTTTCTCTTTGTTCTCTCTCTTCTCTCACTCTATCTCTCGGCCAAACCACTCTTCTTCTCTCTCTCCCTTTTTTTTTTTTTTTTCTTTTTCTTTCTTTCTCCTTTCCTCCCTTCTTCTTTCTTTCTTCTCCTCTCGTTTTCTTCTTTTCCTTTTGGGCGAACTGCCCAGTTCCCTTCTCCTTTTAAACAAACACTTTTTAAAATTTATTTGCCCCCCAATTCCTCTAAATTTCAGTTTAACCCAGCCACATAAGCTTTCCGTAGCAAAAATGTCCAAATTTTTCCCTCTTGATACATGCAAACCCATCAGGATTTATTTCTTCGATTTCACCCCCTTAACACAGCTTTAAAAACTGACAGAAATACCCCTATCTTACCACAATACCAAAAAAATCAAATAAATAAATAAAAAAAAAAAAATTAATTAACTTAAATACAATTCATGATCTAACTAAAATCAGGAATGGGGTTTTACATGCTATGTCACAAGATTTGATAATTAGAGACTTAAATTCATTGCTACCTTCTTTTTCTAGGTCATAGAGCACATTCTCAAAACAGGGGATTTCACTAAAAAATATATTCTCACTTCTTTTCAGCAAATTCTTAACCCAATCAAATGTCTTCTCAATCATTATCTGCGAGAGCATCATATTTCTTGAGTATCTATTGGTGTCCCAGTATTCATTTTGAAGACCAATTTCTAAGGTAAAGTTGGATAAGTTTTGGAACAACATGACATCCTTAGGCAAGATATTGGGATCTGGGACACAAATCTTCAAGCTAGTTAAACGAGACAATCCCTTTAACTCATTAAATTTCGAAAAAACTCCTTCGGAACCTTGAAAATTCTTGCCTCTAAAACTTTGTATCATGTACAACTCCTCCAACCTACAAAGACAATCTAGGACTCCACGTGATATCTGAGTTAGCTCTGTGCACTCACTCAAATCTAACAACCTTAGATTACATAATTGGCTAAAGGATGTAGGAATCACTTCAATGTTAGAACCAAAAAAGCTAAGAATCTCTAGGTTACTTAGCTCTCCTATTACAGATAAATCACCCAGCTTGCAAAACTTAAAATATAATGTTCTAAGATTTACAAGTAAAGAAAGTGACTTAGGTAGCAAAAAGATTGAGGTTCCACTCAAGTCTAGAACTTTAAGATCTTCCATTCCTTTAAAGAAATTGACAGGGACTACCAATTTAGAGTTTTGTTGCAATAATAGGGCTTGCAACTTTGGACATTCCAACTCATCAGGTACCTCTTGAATATCATGTGACATCAATGAGATACTTGTAAGATCATTATATGTGGCTCTACTAGGCCATTCGCTTAGTCTATTGCCATCTTTCACCATGAATGTCTGGTTGAGTTTAGGTGCTATTGTTAATGCAACTTCACGAACTACATCATGCATTTTGACACTCTCTTTACCACATTCATCATCAATGATTAAATGAAAAGATGAAGTGAGGATACTTACTACACCACGTGTTCTGACTTTGACATCTGTTATTGTCTTAATGTCTTTGAACCACCTTAGACCCATCCCATAGCTAGATAAATCTTCAACTGGAATTTGGAAATCCTCTGGCAATAAGCTGCAGAATAAGAACACTAATTTCACTTCCTCACTTTCTAGATAGTTGTAGCTTAGCTCCAGAGCTGTAATTATGTTTTCATTAATTCCTTCAATTTTAGTTGTGGAAGAAATTTTAAGTTGTTGTGCTGCATTGCTCCACTCATGCTTTTTCTTGTTCTTCAATGCTTTTGCTAAAGTCACAATCGCAATTGGCCAGCCGTTGCATTCAGCAACTATCTCTTTAGCAATAATGTTTATATCAGAATGTTCAACATCCACGCCAACATTGCTCTTGAACAAGGCCCAGGATTCTTGATTTGGTAAACTTTCAACGTGAAATGTCTTTTGACACTTCATTTCATCAGAAACATTTTTGGTTCTTGAGGTGAGTATAATTTTACAACCTCTATGATAACTCCCAAAAGGAATACCAATCTTATACAATCCAATTCGTTCGCAAACATTATCTAGAATAACAAGGATTTGTTTCTCTTCCTGGATTCTCTTCCTCAGGGAATGTGCTCTAGATGACGTGTCATTGTTATTGAAATTTGTCAAACCTAACATGCGAGCAATATCTCCTTGAATCTTCGAGATACTCGGGGTTTTAGTCACAACTGCCATCACTACTACATCATATAACTTACTTTCTATTGCTTGTTTGCCGATTTCTTTGACCATCGTGGTCTTACCCACGCCTCCCATCCCATATATTCCAATTATGCTGACGTTATCATCATTCAAGGACGTCACAATTTCCTTCATTATTGATCGTCTTGATTCCAAAGTGTCTGAAAATTCCAAAGATGATCCCTGTATAAGAGAAGGATGAGACACACCAATTAAAACACAACAATATTAATTTCATTAAGTTTGACAAAGTTGTATTAAATCTGCAAGTAAACTAAAAATTTAATAAAACAAATGATTACAAACTATAGTTTCTAAATATTGTATGAAAAAATTGCAAATCCTTTTCTGATTTTGTAGTGCACTAAAAATAAAGAATTGTGTTGAAACTAAGATTTACAAAGAAATTCGTATTCGAAAGAGCCAATAGAAAATTTTGTACATGCATTTGAAGATATTAACACAGAAAAAAAAAGTGAATTTTAATTTTTCCATTGAAAATTTGACCTGATAGAGAAATAAAATGACAGAGAATATGAAAAAGATAATTTTGATAGTAAATTGGGAGTATCAAATAAATAAAGACAAAAATTAAAATAAAGAAAATGGGGTTGTTGGTTAGGTGGGCTAGCCTCCACGTCTTGCCTTCAACCAGCGTAAGGGGCTGATGGTTTAAGGAAATGGGGTTGTGCCTCTGACACAAGCTATAGCTTTTGGCTTGGTAGTAAGTGCCTGATCCTAACAACTTAGGTCCGCATAACTAAGTAGACATGTTTTGGCTTTAGAACGCTTGCGTGATGCCCAAAAGCAAACTCGTGTAGGCTTAGGCCAAAAGCAAACAATTTCTACTTGGTTAGACACATAACTTGACAAGGTATCAGAGCGGCCTCACTACACAATAGGATGAGTGTGATGACCTCACAAGAATGTGAGGTCTGTAAAGTAAGGAGTTTGTCACAGTGCACATCGCTTAGCAAATGAACCTTGGGTTCACATAACTAAGGAGACGTGTTACTGATCCTAACAGCTTGGGTCCGCATAGCTTAAGTAAACACGTTATGTGACGACTTATCGAAAATGTGAGGTCCATAAAATAGGGAGTTTGTGACATCCCACATCACTTAGCAAATGAGCCTTAGGTTCAATTTATAAGGCTTGGGTTCACATAACTAAGGAGACGTGTTTTGGGTGAAGGACAGTTGCAGAGCGCAAAAGTAAACCCATGCATGGAGCAGATAATATCTTGATAGTGGGTCAAAGTGAAAAAATTGGTATCAAACTCAAAATCAACCAATTGAAAATGTGAGGATGATTTAGAGTTGCCTAAAAAGGATGCCAACGAAGACTCTAGATCTAAAAGGGAGTGAATTGCAATATCCCACATCGTTTGAGAAGGAGAAGTGAAATATTGGTTATACAACATGTGAGGTAAGGTGTTGGGACATTGTAACATCCCACAACACTAGGAAAAAAGAGGTAAAAGACTCTTTATATACCTTGTAAGTTCCTAAGCTGTCAGGATGAGTTTTGAGTAAAGTACACGTGTGAAACCCAAAGGCAAACCTGTAGGGGCCTGAGCCGAAAGTGGGCAATATTTATTCTATTTATCGTTAACACTTAACAAGACGCATTTACCTCTTATCCATTTATTTTAGACGAATTTGAAATTAAAAAATTAATGTGTTGTTCATTGTTAGTGAACCAAAACCATAGACTAAACGTAATTAACCCTTAATTAATGAACTAAAACCAGATAGACTAAATATAATTAACCCCTAATTAGTGAACCAAAGCCACATAGACTAAATGTAATTAACCTTTAATTAGTGAACCAAAACCACATGGACTAAATTTAATTAGACCAAAGCCACATAGACTAAATGTAATTAACCTTTAATTAGTGAACCAATACCACATAGACTAAATGTAATTAACTCCATATTAGTCAACCAAGATCAAATAGACTAAATGTAATTAACCTATAGTTTCGAGCTGTTCGTAGCCGTCAAAGGCCAGATCGATCTCACTGCAGTTGTAAAAGGTTTAGACGGCCAGTCTAGCTTCACCACAGTTGTAAGATATCATTTCTAGCCTTGGGCAACTGTAGAGAGGCCTTCGACCTCGTCACAACCAGCATGGCCAAATCTTGCATCATCACAATTGTAAAAGGCTAGATTTGGTAACAAAAATGGTAGGGGAGAAGAGAAGAAAGAGAAAAAAGTAGGGTGACCCCTAGTTTCTGGCTATTCAAAGCCATGAAAGGTCAGTCTGCCTCATCGCAGCTGTAAGATGTTTAGACGGCTAGTCCAGCCTCACTGCAGTTGTAAGAGGTCATTTCTAGCCTTTAATAGTTGCGAGGAGGTTGTTTCTAGCCTTGGGTAGCTGTAAAGAGCCTTGTTCGGCCTCATTGTAGCCAGCATGGCCAAATCTTGCATCATCATAACTAGACCTAGTAAAATGGGCGAGCCAAGTGGGTACAGGTCGGGCCCAACGCGTACGGGTCCAACGGGTACCCCTTGTAAAGCAACCCGCAAAGCACTCCAAAATCAGTCCTCAAAGGGTAATCGGGGCTGGGTGATGATGAATCTGGGCAAGGGTAATCTGAGAAGTGCAAAGGATCGTTGACCCACCACTCTTTGCTCCTTGCATGTAACACCATTCCATGAACAAGGGTTTCATCAGAAGAGTTCCAGTTACTCAAAGACTCTTGTGGGTCCTAAAAAATGGACTGCTTAAAAGACAGAAAAGCATAGCCTTCACCATTCAAAGACTTAACAAAACCATTGAAGTTGCATACAACAAGCATTAAGAAAACAAAAGTGGATAACATCTTTACAACAACAAGAAGAAGAAGAAGAAGAAGAAGAAGAAAGTGACCATTATGAGCAAATGTGGAGGAGCTTAAGGAGCGAAGATGAAGAAGAAGAAAAAAAATACGCACCTTTCTTTTAGAAATGGGTGGTGAAAAGAGTAGACAGTTGAGCTGAGAGTGAAGAAGAAAGTTGGAAAAATGGTAGGCTTTAGTGTGAAAGGTGTGAAGTGATGTAGAAAAGACTGAAGAGAGCAGGGTAAAGGTTAAGCTAACAAAGCAAAGACATTGGGATTTGGGAAGACTTGATAATTGAATTAGATTTTTTTTTTTTTTTTTTTTTTTTTTTTTTTTTTTTAACGCGAAATGTAATGGCATTAAGATTTGGGAAGATTGATAATTGAATTGGATTTTTTTTTTTGACGGGTACCCACAGGTTTATTCAGCCCACCCGTAAAGAAAGGTCGAGTCTAAAATAGAGATGTATGCGAGCCGAGCCGAGCCGAGTATCTCGGTACTCGAGCTCGGTTCGTGATGAAGAGTAGCAAGCTTGAGCTTGAGCCAAGCTTGGTCGAGCTTCAGTATTGGTGTTCTAGCTCGAGCTCGAGCTCGCTTAATCGAGCTTAAACGAGCTCGAGACAGAGTACTACATAATTTTAAAATCTGGAGCTCATTTAAGCTTGCGAGCCTAACAAGTCAAGCTCAGCTATGATCGAATTCAGCTTAATATTGTACTAGCTACTCGAGCTCGGCTCGATTGGCTTTGAGTCGAAATCGAGCTTTCGACGAGCCGAGCTCGAATAGCTCACGAGCTACTCGACTCTTGACTCATTCCTAACTAAAAAAGGGGTCTAAATAGATTTGTAGTATTAGTCCAAATTGCCACATAGAATGGTGGGGGAGACTTGGTAATAGAAATGGTGGGGGAGAGAAGATGGAAGAATAAAAGGAGGAAAAGAGGGAAAAAAAAAAGGGGTGAAAATTGGGAAAGATTAAAGTAAGAATTAAGAAAGCGAAAACAAGATAAAAAAGGATAGGGTTTTCTAATGAATGCAAAAGGTCAATAATAGTATTCCATTAATCTTTACTGTTTTCTATTAAAACAGTAAAGTTTAACAAAATACGGGTTAAGATCCAATTTTTTAAACTAGCGGGGGTTTCGATATTGCACCAAATCCTTGGGGATTTGCAAATTATGCCTATTTAAACATCATCAATATAGAAAATAAACACATCATATATGTTTAACCAATTATAAGTACTAAGTAGAATTAATATGTATCCAAATGTTAAATAAATAAATAAGCTATAAAATAAGAAGAGTGATTTTACCTCCTCACTTTTAGAATCAGGCAGAGGAAGAGTAGGATGAGACACATTCTCGATTTTTCCCTTCTCTCGGAGTTGCAACAACCTGAAAGCCTTCTCTATTGCCTCCTTACTTAGTTTGTAACGTGACCTGATATTAAGACACTTCTTTGCTTTGTCTTCATCTTCCAAAACATTTTTAGCTTCTGCAATAATTTTATCAACTTCTGCAATCCAGACTCTAACATTAGTTTCGATAATTTCTCCATTTCTTTCAGCGTCGTCAACCTTTCGTTGTAATCTATTTCTGCTAGCTCCGAGTCTCTTAGTTTGCTCTCTTAATTCTTCAATGTTGTTCCTGTAATGGAGCACGTAACGAAGCCGGTAGCGTGCTACACCCCACATGCTACCCATTTTCTCTGAGTTTGTAATTGTTGAATGATTGTAGTTGAATAAGGATAACGAGTAGGACTTCAAGCAATGGTGTAGAACAAATTTATGGCTTGATGTGAAGAAAAGCCATAAAAAATGCTATTCTTTTCTTAGCTAAGAATTCATGAATAAACAATGAATTACATTCTAAGAAAGGAATCGATCCTTAAAGCAATGTTATTCTTTTCTTAAACTAAGAATTCTTGTATTTCACAAAGCCAGAGAATTAAAAGAATTTGATGAATTCTTGTAATGTTTCAATTATCAAATTATGTTTAATTACCAGAAGAACCTTAATTATTTTAGTTAAATCACCCAACTAAATTTCAATATATTTCCGACAAAAATAAAGTATGGGGCGTTGAGGATAGTGAAAAATGCAGAAGTTGTAAACTAAAATGTGAAATTATGAAAATTCATAGAAAATTACTTTATTTTCTGACTAAAGTATGTTTCATGTTATATAAGTATCCTGTTGTGTATACCAGTAGAACATTATTTTAGTAAACGTTACCAAAATTTCAATATAATTCAAAAAAATTAAAAAAAAAAAAAAATGAACATGAGGCTGATGAAAAATAAAATGTAAAAATCTTAAATGAAAATTCAAAGAAATTCACATTATTTTCTTGAGTTCATACTATATACCAATGATCTACCCCGTAGTTTCCAAAATTACAATTGGTCCTGTGGTGGTTATACAAATTATCCAATTACCTCCATTGCTGTAAACTTTTGCTATTAAATCTAACTGTTCGCTGACTTTGATTATTAAATGACAATATTACCCTTAAAAAATATTTTTTGAAAATTCAAAAGAAAACCTAAAAATACCAAAAAAAAAAAAAAAAGCTTAAAATTATGTAAATTCATGAAAAAAAGCTAAAATCATAATTTTTTTTTTGTAAAAATTAATAAAAACCTACCAAGTTCAATAAAATTCTTAAAATTTATATTTTTTTTGGGTTTTTTAATTGTTTTAAAATTTTTTGTATTTTGCGTAATTTTATTGAATTTTGGATGTGAAGTTAATTCTTTTAAAAAAAATTACATATTTTTCTTAACTTTTTAGCAACTCATTTTTAGGGGCAATTTTGTTATTGCACATAGTCGGTCAACAGTTATATTTAACGGCAAAATCTGATGACAAGGAAGGTAGTTGGATTATTTGCATAACCGAGGGACCAATTACAATGTTGGAAACCACACAAGAGGTAATTGGTTTAAGCCCTTATTTTCTTAGAAAAGTACGAAATTTGAACTAGGGTACAAAACCCACTTCAATTTTTTATAGCCATAATCTTTTTCGAATTCTTTTGATGATTACATTTTTGCCTTTGCTCCCAACTCAAGGCAAGTTTAATATTCCCTTCAAACTTTAAGACGGAATCAAAAGCAACTTTAAGATTATTATTTACCAAACATATTTCATATTATTTTTTATTTAATTATTTTCAAAGTTGGAAAAAAAATTGATTAAATTTAAAGCTACAATAATCCCAAACCAACTTTTAATCTTTTTTTTTTTTTGTTTTTTTTTGTTTTGGCAATTGCGATTAGAATCGTTGAGATTGTGGAGTCAAATTTAAGTCAAAGATAAAATTGAGATATGAGTTTTCCTAATATGTTTCTTAGTAGAATTGTCATCTCTTTAGGAAAAGTAAATTAATTAAAGAGCAATACAATTAAGAAAATAAAGGAGATTTGAATAGTATATCATGTATTAATTATAACAATGGGTTAAATCTTAGAGATAGGTACAACAGAGTGTAGTATAAGGCAAGACCACAATTAGTATCTTATGTATTAGGGAATAAGATAGAGAACACAAGTGAGCTACTTGGTTCACAAATTTTGAGAGAAAAAACTTTTTTGTTGCAATCACAAATATAGTAATAAGAGAACAGAAGACGTGAGCTTTAGAGTTAACTTGTTGAACCTCTTTAAAGTTTCTTTTGCATTTTTATTTCAATTTTACTTGCTAATTATTTATAATCACGCGGTTATCTTTTCTGATTTTGTCAAAGTCAATTGGATACCTCTGGATGTTGCAAGATTTCGTAACAACAACTTTCATATAGATTTAAGATTTGTTAACATCCTATTGAATCACACAACATGAATCTCTAAAATTTTAGGATGCATACATACATACATATATAATGTAACTTTATTCTCATATGTACTTGACCAAATTACAAAATTTTCCTTTGCTTTAATTTTAAAAATTTTGCTTTGTAAATAAATATTATTTTCTTGATTTATGTAATCTTTTAAAGATTGGAAAACCAGAAAACGTAAGGACATTATTAACAGATTTGGCTTTGTTAATTATTTTCTTGGGGCCGAAAGACATGTTCCCAGCTAAAGTTTGCCCTAACTACAACTTACTATAAGAAAAGTTTCAAAACAACAATGACCCACTTTTCGTTGAGATCTGTCCATTATTTTTAACTGAAGAAAGATGGATGTAAATTCAAAAACAGTCAAAGGGTAATTATGTCACTTTATCCCTATATATAAACAAAAAAACCCTATTCCTTTCTACTTCTCATCTCCCCTTACTCCTCCCATATTCATCTTCTTCATCTCTCCCTACTCCTCCCATCTTCGTCTTCTTCATTTCCCCCTTCTCCTTCCAACTTCATCTTCTTCATATCCCTCTCTTCTCGTCTTCATCTTCTTCATCTCCCCATCTGGGAAAATTGCATCAAGCAGTGCGATTTAGGCCGAATTGCACCTGACTAGATGCGATTTCGCCAGAATGGCACAATCGCACTTAATCGGATGCGAGTAGGTGTTGGGGAGGTGGTTGGTGTTATGTTTGGTTAGACATGTTGCTACGAGAAAGGTGGGCACATGCGCTATCGCTCGCGTGCATTGGGTCTTGCATGCACATTGGTTGGGGCTTTTTATCAAGTACTTGGTGTGCGTTTGAGGGGAAAAGATATGGGATTGGTTGGGAAAGGTGAAAAAACCATAAAATACATCCATAAAAGCCAAAATCTCAAATCTTCACACAAACAACACCAAAACAACCAAATTACAATCAATCAGCTTCAAAAATACTCCAAATCACTCAAATCATGAAACCCAATCGCGATGGCAATCTTGGTTGATGAATAGCCAGCTACTAGGTGTTAGAATTAGAGAGGTTTTGTAATGTGGAGGTCGGTGGTTGTGGGGGTGGTGATAGAGTGGATTTTGGCTGCCGGAATCTATCAAAATTTGGCTTAGAACATCAAAACCCTAATATGTATTTTATGTTGTCAGATTAAATTGTTTAATGGATTATTGATTTGGGTTGGAAGTGATTGAAAATTGTGTGTGGTTTGTGGCGGTGGTGATGGTTGTATTTGGTGGATCTAGTGGCGTGGTTGGAGCTCGTGGAGGTCCACGTGTTGGTGGTGCGATTCTGGCGGAATCGTAGCTGGCCAGATCTAATTCCTACCAAATAAGATATGGGATTTGGATTCAAAGAGGAAATGATATTTTTGTCTTTATAGTGACTATCAATGTAAGTTAACAAATTTTACTAATAGATTTTAATGGAATGTGGGTAATTGCAGTTTTGAAACTTTTCACATAGCAAATTATCATTAGGGCAAACATTGGGTGGGAACATGTCGTTTGGCCTTTTCTTGGTCTAATAATTAAGTTTTAAAAAACCAGCAAAGTAGAAAAAGACGGGCGCTTTAACAAAATACAATCTGATAATTATCTTCTTTTTCTTTTTGTTAAAGCGAAAGAAGAAAAGTAATATTTCAAGTACAAAAGAAAACTAATTGTTGAAATTATTTCATACTTCATGTTAGAATTGGTGAACTCTATTTAATGTTTAGGTACCTATTTTAAAGTGTAGCGGAATATTTACCAAGTAGATTATGCAATTCCAATTTGAACACATCAAACATAAGTGCGGAAAATAAAGAACACAACCATACACATGGTTTGGCTAAATCCACATTTAGCCCACATCCATGGGACCTTGTCCAGATTGAAGCAATCAACTAAGTTAAAAACACATTACAAGATATAGTTCAAAACTGATCTAAGTTATAGTAAAAAGAACTCCTTGTTCAACTTTACACTTATCACCATACTCTGAATCCTTAACGTGTTTTAACTCCTTGGAACTTCTTCACATAAAAAACACACTCGAGAATAGCTTGTGAACCACCAAGCTTCAAGCACCGACACCACACATCAACATCAGCAAAGGAACCACGTTCCAAGAGCCATCAATACAATGTTTGATATGGTGAGCTTTTGGCACACAATGGAAATAAACCTTGAACCTTAAGAAAAAGAATACTCTAAGGAATTTCAGAGTACAAATAAATAAAAGATCAAAATGCTAGATTCATACACGCAAGAAGGGGTATTATATAATGAAAAATTTCTTACTCAACAATATAGTGTCAAGTCAGCCAACAAGGGATTGACCAATGTTTGTCCAAATAAGGAAAATTTTCCTTCTGTTTGAACCCAAAATAAATCGGGAAAAAAAATTTTATTCCTTTGGACCACTTAAGGATACCACTTAAGGATATTATGACACATGTAGAAAAATCCTAAAAAGTGAGAGACAAAGATAAATAATATATTTTTCACTTTTTTAGATATGCAACTCATGTTGTGTTGCAAATATCTGAAGCAAGAGTGAGAGCACAACCTGTTGTGCACACACACTCTAAACGAAATAAGTCAAGATTTAAATTAGGTAATTAGTGTGCACGCAGAACATTTGTGCACACACACAATCCATAAGTTTGACAAATATGAGTTTTCCACACTTTGCCTTGGCTCTCAAGGCTTCTTTGGTTCCATTCTACTTTCTTGCAATGTTATTCTTTTCATAAATTAAAAATTCATGTACTTCACAAAGTTAGATGAAGGAATTTGATGCGGACGCAAACATTCTATGGCAAAGGAGAGACCCTGCTCCTTCAGTACATTCAAATTAAGAACATGAGGTTGGA